GATGATGATGATGATGATGATGATGATGATGATGATGATGATGATGATGATGATGATGATGATGATGATGATGATGATGATGATGATGATGATGATGATGATGATGATGATGATGATGATGATGATGATGATGATGATGATGATGATGATGATGATGATGACAATGACGACGTAAAGTAGGTGCCGCGAGGTGCAAACCAGTGCGGTTCCTGCACATGCAAGACCGTCGAATTGCCGCACCCAGCTGCTGTTGCCGTGCCGTTGCTGCTATCGGCACCGTTGCTGTCTGTCGATTCAAATTGGTCCGGGAACATCACCTCCACGGGGCCCGCGTTTCCGTCCCCGTTGCTTCCCAGATTCAGCGTGAAGCCGCTGTATGTTGGCTGCGCCAGCAAAAGCACGCGCACGGCCTCGTCGGCAGCCACATCCGGCGAGGTCTGCACCACCGGCAGGGATACCTCGGCCATACCGGGGCAAAGGCCGTCTGCCGCACGCCCCAGCAGCAGCTCCCGCGCATACGCCTCAAGCAGCTCGGGTAGCGGCTCAAAGGTGGCAATGTCGGTGCCAAACAGGCCCGGTGTCAGCGTGATGGCAAACAGGCTGTCAATCAGCGAGCGTGTGGCCGCATCCGCACCCGCGCTGCCGGGGATCAGGTCCTGCAGGGCCGCCACAATCACCTGCAGCTGGGCGTTGTCCACAGCACCGCTGCCGTCACTGCCCGTTGTGCTGCTCTTGCCGGTCGTCGGCGTGTCTGGCGTGAGCTGCGCCAGCACCTCCTCGTCCGTGCTACTGGGGTTGCACGCAGCCGTCTGCAGTGCAGCAAGCAAGCGCGCGCGGCTCTTCGATGCGTAGATGGTCACCGTGCTTGTGGACGCCTCCTCGTCCAGCAGCATGCCTTGCGGGTCACGCAGCCGCAGCACCACCGTGCGCGAGCCCGTGCCGGACGGCAGCGGGAACGTTTGCAGCGTCACATTGGCCACGCGCTGACCCTCCGTGAACACGAGCACCTGCGAGATGCGCTGGTACAGCGATGCGTCCGCCGTGCCATCCATCGTCTCAACCGTGACGGACCCCGAGCCAATCGTGCCGCCTTGCCTGCGCACAGACAGCACAACCTCGTCCGCGCCCGTGCCGTCGGCGTTGGCCGCCCCATACTGGTCGTAGCAAGGGAAGCCGACTGTCCCGGATGGGTTGTCATTGGCCGCCACCGTCACCGTCGCCTGTGTCAGCGCACCCAGCAGCGCGCCAGACGACGGCTGTGACAGCAACACCACAAACGCCTCATCCTCTTCCGGGATGCCATCGGCAGCCAGGCCAATCTCCAGCACGGCACTCGATGCCTCCGCAGGCACCGTCACGTTGCCGGCATACACGCCATTGCGCAAGTCGTCCTGCAGCGAGAAGCCGTTGTTCGCCAACGTCGTGTCCACGCTTGCCTCCCACCGTACCGTGGCGGGGCCATAACGTGCCCCCTGCCGCAACAGCGTGAGCCGCGCAACATGTGCGCCGCCCTCCTGCGCCGTGATGCGCTGCTGCGAAAACGTCACCATGCCATTCGGGTTGTCGTTGGCCAAAATCACCACCGTCACGCTCCCGCGCGTGTTTGAGATGCGCGGCGCCGCCACAGCGGCATCTGGCGATGCTGTTGTCGTTGATGCACCACCGCTGCCATTGCCATCATCGCGCAGGGTCACAGCCTGCAGCGCAACAGTGAACGGCTCATCTGGTTCGGGAAGATCATCGTTGAGGATGAACACGGTGATGACGCGCTCCGTCTCTGCCGGCTCAAAACGGATGGTTCCGCTCAGCACGTTGATGTCCACGGCCTGCTCTGGCGTGGCATCGGGCGCAAACCCGGCCAGGTCCAGGTCACTGGCAATCACGCCCTGCGCGCCTGCGTCAGGGATGACCCACTCCACGTCCACGGTGCCAATGCTGCCGCCGCCGCGCACAATTGTCAGCGACACGGCCCCGCTCTCCTCGGTCACGCGCAAGTCCGACCCTGCCTCACGGATGCTAAACACCCCGTGCGGGTCATCGCTGGGCAAGACGGAGAACACCCGCGCAGTCGCCGTGTCCGCTGTGGGCGGCACAACCACGCCATCGTCAGCCAGCGGCTCAGCAGAGACGAGTTGCACCGCCACCGTGCTTGCCAGTTCGGCCTCCATGTCCTGGCTCACCGTGAACGTGATCTCAGCTTGACCTTGGTTTGGCTGGAAATCAACCGCGTACAGGCGCACACCAGCTCCGCCAGCTCCGCCGCCATCGGGGCTTTCCGCAGCGTTAACCTCGACCTGCTCACCCGCGTCGTTCACAGAGAACACGACACGCACGGTGCCCACACGCCCACGCGAGCGCACAACCGGCAGCGTGACGCTCTCGCCCTCACTGGCAACGGTGGCGCTCAGTTGGCCGAGGGAAAACACGCCCCGTGGATCGTCGTTCTCTGGCACGCTCAGCACCGCGCTGGACGAGCGCACGTCGACCTGGTCGTCGCCCTCCACCGCAATGTTGCTCAGCTGCAGGGAGAAGCTTTCAAGGGGTTCGGGGCTCGTGTCGTCTGTCACGCGCACAGCAATCACGCCCACAGCGTCGGCCGTGACGAGGCGGCCGCTGGCCTGCGAGAGATCGGATGTCGGGTTGCCCCCGCCGCTGCCAGACACAAAGGCCCAGTCTGCACTGAGAATTCCGCGCGTGCTGCCGCGGGAGACATTGAACGTGACCAGGGCGCCCTCGAGCGCGGTAACGCTGGCAGGAGACACGCGGATGACGTTGTTGGCCTCCGCCTCGCCCACCACCGCCGTGCGCGTGCGCTGGTCCTGTGCAACAACAGGGACGACGTCAGTGCCCGCCGCCACCTCGCCGCCATCGCTGCCGTCCTGCAGCGTTGCAGAGGCCAGGGTGACGTGGAAGAGGTCGCCGGCCTCCAGGAGCACATCCGTCGGCAGTGCAATCTGCAGAGCCTCGACTTGGCTGCCCGGTGCAAACAGGAGCGTGCAGTTCTCTGTTTCACACAGACCGCCCAGTGCCTGCGTCTTGCTTGCAGACGCGCGTGAGTCGGGTCCAAGCTCAAAGCTCACACGCACCCCGCATGCCACGGTGCCCGCGGTGCCATTGGTGCGGGTGACCTGCAGCTGGAGAGCACGCGTGAAGCCTGGTTCCACCACCGCCACCTCCGCAGCCGTCAGCCGGAACGTGCCATACGGGGCGTCGTTTGCAGGTACGGTTACCGTGGCCACCACTGTTTGGGGCTGCAGGCGCCCGAGCGACGTGTTGGTGAGCGTGAGCGTGAATGCCTCGTCAAACTCTGGGTCGCCGTCGCGCAGTGCCGTGATGTCAACGGTGGCAGAGGACTCGCCATCCGCGATGGTGACCACGCCAGCAGCTGGGCTGACGCTCAGGTCGCCCGTCAGGGGTCCCGTCGATGCTGTTGTGCGGGCAACCCTGAAGCTCACACGAGCAGCACCAAAATCGCCGAGGGCGCGAGTGATGGTGACGGGCATGGTTGTGCCTTCCTGCACAGACAGCTGGCGGGATGCGGGCGCGATGGAGAACACGCCCTCGCCGTCGTCATTGGGTGGGATGGTGAACCAAACGGAAGCGCGATCAGCAGCAAGCCGCCCGTCAATGGGCGTGAGGAGCGTCAAGGTGACACGGAACGTCTCCCGTCCCTCGGCATCATTGTCGTTGACGATGAACAAGTCTGGAATGGCGTGCGTGTGCTCGCCAGGCAAGAACGTCAGCCGACCGCGCAGCGCTGGTGTTGCATCACCAAACCCAAAGTCCGCCGAGCGCGGGTGCTCGCGGACGCACGACGCGTTGGGCGAGGCAATCGGCATGCCAGTGGCCGCGTCTACGTCACACACATCGTCAACGGCCCACCGCAGCTGCACGGTGCCCGTGGTACCCGCCGTTCGCTCAACTGTGAGGGGGAGAGACGTGACTCCGGACGTGGGCTCCGGAACAACACGTGCCAGTGCTCCAGCAAAGCCAAATACGCCGTTGGAGGCGTCAGACGCCAGCGCGCGGACGTGAATTGGCGACGCTTCTGGGGCGAGCGCGGCGCCTGGCGCTGTTGTCGCCAGCACGAGCTCGTACACTTCGTCTGGTTCCGGCAGCGTGTCGTTGAGCAGGGTGATGGTCACCATCTGCGTGGCGAGGTCGACGCGGCCAGCGGGGAAGGTGAGCACGCCGCTGAAGCCAGGCGCGAACTGCTCTCCTGCCGCGGGGCCAACGATGGTCCAGGCAATGTCCACGTCGCTGTAGAAGCCGCCCGTGCGCTGCACAGCGAGCACAAACGCGCCGCCCTCTGTCAGGTTGATGCTGGTTGGTGTGGTGTCGGCAAGTGAGAAGAGGCCGCTCACGCCATCGTTGGCGTCAATGGTGAGCTTAACGCTGGCTGCCTGCGCGTCAAGCAAGGGCGGGCTGTTGGCCACACCGCCACTCACACCTGTCACGGTGAGGATGAACGTTTCTGGCTCCTCGGCGCTGGTGTCGTCCACAATGTCGATGGGAACGAGCGCGCTTGCCACGCCGTCCTCCAGCACGAGCTGTGTCAGCGGAGACGAGAAGTCCGCGCCAAGCACGGCAGGGTTGGCGCCCGTGCCGCGAAGTTCAAACGAAACCGTAACCGCACCAAACGTGCCCTTTGTTCGCTCCACCACCACATACGCGCGACCCGCGCCTTCGCGTACAAGTGCCGTGCTGTTGGCGCGCACGCTCACGATGCCGCTTGCATCGTCGTTGGCCGGGATGACGAGCGTGACATCGCGCCCATCCGTGCGTGGCGATGAAGGGTCTGGGAACGGTGGGGCCTGGACGAGAACGGGCGAGCCAAGGCGCAATCGCAGCCGCTCTTCTCCCTCAGGGATGTCGTCGTCTGGAATACGCAGCAGCACCTGCGCAGTTGTTTGACCGTCTGCAAACACCAGCCCGCTTGTTGCCGTGTCGTTCACGACATCTTCACCAAACACCGCAGAGGCTGTGATGCGAGGATACAAGGCGCAGACGAAATCGTATGTGTGGGTACGTGCGTGCGTATGTGTCGCGTGTTTGTGTGTTGGGGTGTATGTGTGTGTATGTGTGCGTATGTATGAGTTGTGTATGTGTGTTGTGAATGTGTGTGTGTATGTGTGTTGTGTATGAGTGCGTATGTGTGCATATGTGTGTTTGTGTGTATGTGTGTGTTGTGAATGTGTGTATGTGTGCGTGTATGTGTGTATGTGTGTATGTGTGTGTTGTGCAAGTGATGCCGGGCGCAGTGTAATAATAAACACAGTACGGCAGGAGGAAGCAAGACATGTTCACCACAAGCCTCGCAACGTTCTGCTTGGTCCCCCACGTACCGCCAGATGCTGCTGAGAGGAAGAGCAGGTCTACTTGCACGCGACCGAGAGAGCCAACCGTTCGCTGGATCTGCACAATCACGTCCTGGGCACCTTCCTCAACCGTGATATCATCTGCGCCGTTGCCGTTCACTTGCAGCGTGAACACGCCGTGGATGCCGTCATTGGCCGGGACGGTGATGGACGCCTGGTGCCGGGTCGTGTGCAGGCTGGCGCCACCCGTTGCGTTGTACAGCTCAACCACAAACCACTCCGTCGGCTCTGTTGAGTGGTGTGATGTGTGATGTGACGTGATGTGATGTGACGTGAGAACAAAGAGGGGGTTCATGAAATCAAAACTGAGGCCGTTTCAAACGTCATCATTGACGTCAATGGCAAACGTCAGCACCACAACACGCAACGTCAGCACACCAAACAGCCAATCTCAGGACACCAAAGCGCGTACGTGCACACCTGGTGCAGTATCTGGGAGGACACTGACGGCGAACGTCTGCTCATCAACACCATCTGCAAAAGTCAGAGTGCCGCTGAGAGGCTGCATGTCCCCTGCAGCCTGTGCCGTCGTTCCATTGTCGTGCAAGCGAAGGACACGCCAGGCCACAGAGACTGCGCCAATGGCACCAAACTCTCGGACAACGGTCAAGAGCTGCTGCTGCGGTTCGGCTGCCTCGGACACAACGCTGTTCAAGGACGCACTGGCAAACGCAAGCTCTCCACGTGGCGTGTCGGAGGCTGCAATGGTTACAGACACGGACGTTTGTGACCCAAACACGACATCTCCTCCAATGTCCAGTGTCAGCTCCTCCAGCAGCTCTGTCCAGCAACAAGCAGTGGCGGCCACAGCGGCAGCAGCAACGAACAACAGTGAGAGAGATGCACGATATGGTGGCACAAGCAAACAAACGCAGGGGCGCAGAAGAGGGGCTGCACTTGGACACAACTACAGCCAAAGCATCAGCTCATGTCCCCCACGTACATCCAAACACTCACACACACGCACGCGCGCGCACACAAGCAAACACTCACACACTAGCAAACACACACATAAGCAAACACAACACACACACACACACACACACCTGGGATGTCATCTTGCAGTGCAGTGAAGAAGAGGGCGTGCGTTGCCTGACTAGGGAGGAACACAACATCGCCGGCGGAGCGAGCAACATCCAGCGAGCCATCCGCAAATGCAAAGTGCAGCAGCTGCGTCTCAGCCACAGCACCGTCCGGTGCAACGATGGCCACCACGAACGATGATGTCCCCGTGTACCACGCCAGAGCAGGCGCAATGTCAGCAGCAGCCGCGCCAGCCAGCGCCGCTCCAAGGCCGGGCACAATGGCAGACGCCACCACGCGATCATTGTCGTCGCTGTTGCCGTCAACGGACACTGCACGAATGCGGACAACAGCGTCATCGCCAGCCGCTTCCGCTTCTGCGTCCCACACACCGCCATCAGTCGTGTAGAAGTAAGCGGGAGAAGTGGCTGCAGTGGCCTCCGCTTGGCGCAGCAGCGTCACAGCAATGCTCTCCACGCCATCACCATTGACTTGCACGGCAACCGTCGAGCTGTTACCGGGGCCGCCCTGCTGTGATGCCGTGCCGTGGACCACCAACACATCACCGCCTGTCGCGTCAATGCGAGACACGCCGTGGCTCACAGACACCTCGGTGCCAGAAAGCGCCAGGGTGTTGGCGGCGGCGTCCACGCGCACAAACACCAGGCGTGTTGGCCTGCCGGCTCCATCCTCTGCCACAGCCAAGAGGTCGCTGTCGCCTGCAGCTCTGCCCAACGTCGTGTTGCGCACGACATGCAGCAGTGAGGCCCGCGCTCCAAGCGTGAGCGTGGACGTCACACGCACGGTTGCCGTCGGGGAAGCGAGGGCACGCACGGACACGGTGAAGAGGCGGCAGGACGTGGTGTCACAGGCAACGACGTGCCCGCTGTCCAGCACGGCGCAGCTGGTGTCGTACGAGGGAATGGTGGCCACAGCGACAAAGGTGGAGGACTCAGCAAGTGGTGTGTACACGTGCACTCGCGTGTGCTCGATGCTGGATGCCATGCATGCAACGACAACATCGGGGCTGCCGTCTTGCGTACGCACCCAGCCAGCGCCAATGGCCGTGACTAAAGCCATATCGACCTCCGCCACGACGAGAGGCGTGCCGAGGCCTCGCAGTGCCATGAAGGTGTGCGTCTCATCGCCATCACCACTGCCATCGTCCGTGTTCTTCCTTGACGCTACGAGCAGCGTGAGATCAGCGCCCTCGCCGCTGGGAGCCACTGGACTTGTGGAAACAGCCTTGTTGTCCACAGGCGGTGCAAGCAGCACTTGCGCCCTGCTTCCCGCCACAGCCAGCGTGTCTGCAACAACCAGCGTCGGCACACTGCTCGCTTCAACACCATCCTGCTTGGTCAGCGTTGCTGTGTCCGACGACAGCTGCCAAGTCACTGTCTGCTGACCAAAGGTGCCTCCCTCACGCACAACATCCACACGCACCGTGCGCGGCCCGTTGTCCTCGTCAATTGTCAGCGGCGACGCTGACGAGAGAGAGAAGCGCCCGTGTGCGTCGTCATTCTCCGGCACGATGATTGTGGCCTGCAGTGGCGAGCCGAGACGCGCGTCATCTGTGGTGACGCGAACGATAAACTCCTCGGTCAGCTCCGGCGTTGTATCTGGGACAATGTCCACGACAAACGAGGCAATGCCGCTGCCTGTAGTGAACGAGACTGCGTCGGGCCACACCAGATCGTCCTGCACAGGCACGAGGGAGCCGTCGGCCAGCCGCTGCTGGATGCTCACGCTCACGTCGACGACACCAAACACGCCGGGCCCTCGCAACAGGTCGACGGTGGTGTTGCGGGGTGTCGTGTCTCCCTCATTCACGGTCACGGACGTGGCGGATCCAATACGCAGCACGCCACTTGCGTCATCGCTCGCAGCAATGGTCACCGTCACCGCATTTGGCAGCCCTGGTGTTGTGGTTTTGGAAAGGGGGGAGGGGGGCAAGCAGCAGCAACGCACAAAATGAGACGAGATGTGAGAAGTCAGATGGAAGGGGTGGGGTGGGCATGGAATGAGCAGGCTCCTCCAACATTGCACGCTGAGTTGCGGAGCAGTGCAGACGTTGAACGAAAACAGCGAACAGGAATAGCGAACAACAAACGATGAACGTGAACAACGAACGGGAACAACAACGAAACAGGGGCCCATGAAACGACCCCAGAAATGAAGCGATGATGACAACCAAACCCAGTAGCTCATTCACCCATCCACACTTATTGCATACCATAGCGGCCGCCCGTCAAGCCAGTGAGCTGGATGAAGAAGGTCTCTGCAAGCTCTGGTCGTGTGTCATCAACGATGCGGAACGGCACAACCGCCTCGGTCTGGCCATCCATAAATGTCACCCTGTTACCATTGCAACAAGACCAAGGAGGGAGAACATGGGAGTTGAAAAGGGCGTGAGTAATGTTGTAACACCCATATTTGCATCCAACATTGCAGTCACACGCGCACACACGCGCGTCATGGAAAATTCGCTGCAGTCAATATCATCAACCACATGAAAGCTCCTCTTGAAAACAAAATCCAGCACATCGCACGCCACCCTCACACGACACGACACCACATCATGTAGCACAGCACATCACAAGACACACCTGCTGGTGAGGATGACGTAATCTTCCCCACGGCGAGCGCCCTGCGCACCAAATCCATCCTGGAACAACAGCGACATGCTTGTCTCGCCCAGCGTGCCACCAGTCCTCACAATCTAAGAGAGTGTGTGTGTTGGGGAGGGGGAGGGGAGAGGATTGAAGGAAGGAGATGAGACAAGCACAATATCACAATGCCTAACCAAAACTGACACGCACTCACACACACACACACATTCACTTACTCACACACACACACACACACACACACACACACACACACACACACACACACACACACACACACACACACACAAACTCACTCACTCACCCACTCACACTCACTCACTCACTCACACTCACTCACTCACACTCACTCACAAACTCCCTCACTCACCGTGACGTTGGCGGGTTTGCCTTCTTCCACGGAGAGCTTGCTGGATGTGAAACTAAACACGCCAGCTGCATCGTCGTTTGCGTTGATGGTGATGACAGCAATGTCCGCAGCCATGGACACGCGAGGCGTGTTGGGCAGCGGCGGCGTCTCAACACTGGTTGGCTCAACAGACACAAGCTGCACCTCAAACGTCTCGCTCAGTTCGGGCGTGGCATCGTCGTAGACGCGAATGGGAACAGTGACAGCGCTCTCGCCAGCGCCAATCACAACGGTGGTGTCGATGGACAGGTAGTCGTCGTCCGCAGTGGCAGGGGAGCTGGTGGGCGTGGTCGTGTTGGTGGCGCGTGTGCGCACACGAACAGACAGCGCGACAAAGAGGCCGCCCGTGCGTGAGATGCTCAACGAAAACTCGCCTGTGTTCTCGTTCACCAGCACGGCCTGGGATGCCTCGGCCCATCCCACCACACCATACGCGTCGTCGTTGGCGGGGATGGTGAGCGTGGACTCAAGCACGTTTTGCCGCAGCGAGGCAGAGGGAACGGACACGTTGTCCAGACGCACGCGGAACTGTTCTGCCAATTCTGGAACGGCGTCGTCGACGATGGTGATCTGGACCTGTCCTGTCGTCTGGCCGTCCAGGAAACTGACATCGCCAGACACGGGCGCAACGTCCATAGCCGCCACCGCAGATTCCGAAACGCCCTCCACAGACCAGCCCACCCGCACGGGGCCCTGGAACATGAAGGTGCGCACGATGAGCACGGTCACGGTGGTTCCCTCCTCACCAGACACGCTGGTGTAGCCGGAGGAGATGCCAAACCGACCGCTGGCGTCGTCGTTGCCGAGGATGACAACGTCAAAGGGTGCAGAGGAGAAAGCAGCCGTGTTTGTGGCCGCAGTGAGCGAGAACGGCACTGTCTCATCCAGTTCCGGCTCGTCGTCGTTTAGCACACGCACGGTGACAGCGTTAAGTCGCTCACCCTCCGCAAACGCCACCTGACCCTCGGTCGGCGTAAGATCACCGGCTGTTGCCGCTGTGAGCGCCGTGGTCCAGTCCACGATGACGTCTTCAAACGCGCCCCCTTGCCGCGCAATCACGAGCGAGATGGTGGCGTTGTCCTCCTCAAGCACAGCTGAGGTCGACAGCGTGGGAGAGATGACAAACCTGCCAAACGGGTCGTCGTTGGCGGCCACAACCACGTGCGAGCCCAGCTCCTGTGTCTGCTCCGTGACGCGCGGTGACGCGATGTGGGTTGGCGGCGGGTACGGGCCAAGCAGCTCCACGTCATCGATGGCAACTTGGAAATGCTCCCACATCTCCGGCACGTCATCCGCAAGCACCGTCACGTTGATTACGGCCTCGGTCTGGCCTTCCTCCAGAGTCACGTTGTGCCGGTACGCGGCTACAAAGTCGGCACCAGCGGTGGCGAGATAGCGATCTGCAATGCTCGCGTTTGCGCGTCGTTCATAGTATTCGTAACGCGGAAACCTGCACGCAAGCAAGCAAGTGCATTTCATTTGTTTGTGAGCAGGGCGTGGTGATGGGACCGTGAGTTGTGTGCCTGGTGCAATCAAGCTATCACACACGTGCACAGAACAGGTGCATGTTCACACACGACTCAGGGCACGCACGCAGGTGCACGCACAAATCCATCCACACTTACATACAACAACACACTTACGACAGGCAGACACACACACACAACACACACAGCACACACAACACACACAGCCACACATGTGCACATTGCACTCACAAGATGGGACTGTCGACACGTGTGGCGCTGAGAAGGCATTCAGCGGTGGTGCTGCTGAAACTGACACTGGCACACGCGTCCACGGCAAGACACGCCGCCTGACACGCCAGGGCAGTCTCGATGCCGGAAAGCGTCTGCATGATGTCAAAGTTGGCGCCAGACTGCGCAGTCTCAAACAGCTCCGACGCAACAATGCGCGGGACGTGGTTGAAGGGAAAGGCGAGCTGCGCTTGAGCAAGCAAGGACGGCGTGGTTGCGCGCACCGTGTACGTGACCCGCACCTTGCCATACGCACCGCCGGAACGAGACATCGTCACGGGCACCGCCTTTGTTGCCATCTCTGCTGTTGGCTCCTCGCTCACCCACACACTGACGGGCAGCGAGAACACGCCAAAGGGGTCGTCGTTGGCGAGAATCATCAGCTGGCGCTCCCCGCTCACTGCCATCACCCGCGCCCCGCCCTGAACGCTTTCCGGGAGCAGGGTGACCGTCAGGTCCTGCGTCACCTCCGGAACCGTGTCCGGCAACACGGAGAGCACAAGCTGCGCGCTTATCTGTCCTGGCACAAACACCAGTTCGCCGGTCGTTGCATTAATGCTGTCCGCAAACCCATCTGGTCCACTCACCATCCACTGCACGGAGACATCGCCAAAGGTGCCTGCCAGTCGCTCCACCGTCCACGACACCACGAGTGGCGCATCCTCGGGCTCAGTAACGGCCACCGTCGTGGTGTTTGCAAACGCAAACACGCCCCGCGCATCGTCGTTCTCTTCCAACACGAGTTCGGCGGTGCGGGCAGCAGCGAAGATGCGGCCGCGCGAAACAGACTGTATCTGCACGCGCACCAGCTCGTCAATCTCAGGAACGGTGTCATCTGCAATGCGCAGGACGAGGCGCTTCTGGGTATCGCCCTCCGCAAACGCCATGTCCACGGCCATGGTCCCACCCGTGATGTTGACACGCACGCCGCTGTCGCTCGCGCCGACCACCTCCGCAAAGTCCTCGCCAGCCACCGCACACGACAGCACGGTGCAGCCCATGGGGGACAGCGCCAACGAGACGTCGACCGCACCAAACGTGCCCCTGTTTCGCTGCACCACGACGGTGAACAACGAGCCCTCTTGCAACGACGCCAGCACGCCTGTCTCCATGTCCACGCCTCCAATGGCAAACACGCCGCGCGCATCATCGTTCTCGGCAATGCTGATGGTGGTTTGTTGCACTTCGCCAAGCCGCGGCGACGTGGCGCTGTAAGGGCCGGCGTCGCTGGACAACAGCCGTGCCCCTGTCAGCTGCACCGCAAACCGCTCGCTCAACTCTGGCAGGTCATCTGGCGTGAGGGTGATGTTGAGTGGCCGCTGCTCCTCGCCAGCCGCGAAAATGAGGGTCTTGTTGCTGAAGGCCTCAAAGTCAAGCGTGCTTGCAAACTGGCTGCCCGTGCTCAGCACAAACGTGCGCACAGAGACGGCCACGGTGCCGATGAGGCCGCCAAGGCGCCGCACGTACACGGTGGCGTGGCGTGGGTGCGACAAGGCACTGCCCTCGCCACCCTCCTCGCTCGTGTCAACGCCCGGCTCAGGAAACGTGTACGACAGCGCACCAAAGACAAATGTGCCGTGGGGATCGTTGCTGGCACGAATGACCACAAGCGCCTGCAGCTGGGTGGGCTGAGGCGCAAGCACGGCGCCGTCGCTGGCTGCGGTGACCTGCACCACAAAGGACTCGGCCACTTCCGGCAGGGCATCGGCAAACACGGTGATGGGAACCACTGCGCTGTCGGCGCCCTCACGAAACGACACGGTGCCGCTGAGCGGGGCAATGTCCGACTGCACCGTGCTCGGGTTTGGCACCTCCCACGATGCGGTGACGTTGCCAAACAAACCCCGCGTGCGAACGAGCGGGACGCGGACGCTGCCGTCTGACTCTGACACCACGAGCACTTGGCTCTCTGGGGCGACGGCAACCACGCCGTAAGGGTCGTCGTTCTCTGCGATGGTCACGTGAGCTGTGCTGGCGGTGGGGTCGAGCACAGCACCGCGGCTGGCGTCAACGAGGGTGATTGCGAACACCTCATCCAGCTCGGGGATGTCATCGTCGCGAATGAGAATGTCGAGCTGCTGCGACCGCTCCCCGGGCGCAAACACAACGCGGCCTGTCGTGTTGTACACGTCACTGCTGTCACCGGCCACCGTGAACAGCGGGCTCACCGCAGTGATGCGCCAGTCGACCCACACGGTGTCGTAGACACCAGCATCGCGTGTGATGACGGCTGACACCGTGGCCCCGCGTGTCTCCTGCACGCGCGTGGAGCTGCTGATGCCGGTGGCGTTGGCGGACGCAAAGCCCACAGAGAAGAGGCCAAAGGGGGCGTCATTCTCCTCCACCACGAGGGCTGACGTGGATGCTCGTGCCTCAATGGCCGACAAGCTGGGCACGGATACGTCTGTGAGCGTGACGGTGAACTGCTGCGTTGGCTCTGGTAGCGTGTCGGAGAGCACGGTGATGGTGATGTTGCGCATTTCCACCTCGGGGCCGAACGTGAGCGTGCCGCTTTGTGGCGTGATGCCGGCCTCCTCTGCATCGGAGCACGCCTCACACGCGCTGTCGTCGTCATCGGGGGTGTCGTTGGGGTCGAGGCACCGCACGCACGCTGTGACCGCCCACGACACGTGCACTGTGCCGTCCGTGCCACGCTGGCGAACAACGGGGATGCTGTACACGGCGTCGCGCGTGTCGACCTCGCGCACGTGCACCTCTGCATCGGCCATTGCGAAATATCCCCACGGCTGTTCGGAGGAGAGCAGCAGCACATCGAGGGAGGTGCGGTTGCCAAGGCGGCCTGGCGATGCGTTGGAGATGGTGACGGTGAATGGTTTTGGATACTCGGTGATGTTGTCGTCGCGAAGCACAATGACAATGTCCTGTTCCACAACATGTGGAAGGAACACAAGCACGCCTGAGGCGGTGGCCACATCCTCAATGGCTGGATTAATGGACCACGACACCGTGCCGGACACGAGCTGCGCCACTCCGCGCTCCACGGGAATGCGAAAAATGCCCTGCTCCTCTCGCGCTGCACATCGAACGACATGATAGTGTATGTGTGTGTGTGTGTGTGTGTGTGTGTGTGTGTGTGTGTGTGTGTGTGTGCGTGTGTGTGTGTGTGTGTGCGTGCGTGTGTGCGTGCGTGTGTGCGTGCGTGTGTGTGTGTGTGTGTGTGTGTGTGTGTGTGTGTGTGTGTGTGTGGGTGTATGTGTGTGTGTGAGTCAGCGAGTGAGAATGCGTTGTGTTTGGTTGTTGCAAGTGTGACCAACGCTAGCATGCTTGAAAAGCAAGGGAGAGATTGCAGATCACGCGCTGCAACACACACACACACACACACACGCACACACACACACACACACACACACACGCACGCACGCACACGCACACACACACACACACACACGCACACACACGCACACACACACCTGTAACGTTGGTGAGGTCGTCTGGGAAAGCGTAGACGCCGGCATAGTCGTCGTTGGGGGCGATGGTGACGGAGGTCGGCTCACCGCTGATGCGGCCCTCGCCAATGTCGGTGTCGAGCGATTCGGGCTCCAGCAGCGTCACGGCGCAGCTCTGTGCCACCTCGGGTACGTCGTCATCGACAGCGTTGACGGAGAAGGAGACAAAGGACTGGCTGGCACTGAACACAACCGAGCCCTCGGTTGGCCTGAGTTGTTCAAGGCAGTTGGACACGTTCACCACCTGCCATGGCACGCGCACGCTGCCAAACCGCCCGGCTGACCGGCGCACTGCGAAAAGCGTCTCTTCCTCCGTGTTCTCCTGGATCTCTGCTGGGAAGGGGTCGAAGAGCGTAAACACGCCGGCTGCGTCGTCATTTGCTGCAATCGTCACCACCGTTCGCCCTTGCACAATCACGAAATCCCCGCTGTCGTCCGCCCGCGAAAGTTGGACCTGTCCACAACAACATCAGCAACATACCAGAGAAAACAAAACACGTGGCAGGATTTGTGACATGTGGAAATGAGGTTGTGGAAACACGTGGATTGATTTAGAATGCGAAAGACGAAATCGTCAAACATTTTACCTCCTGTGCAACAACCCCGATATGAAACATGCAGCAAGCACGCACGCACACACACACACACACAAACACACACACACACACACACACACACACACACACACACACACACACACACGCACCTCGAAGGCGCGATCTGGCTGAGGGGCGTCATCTGCAACGAGCTGGATGGAGATGCGCGCGATTTCGTCGTCGGGAGAAAAGGTGAGGATGGTGTTGGCTGGCTCCACAAACCCGCTTGCGACATTGGGTCTTGCATCCACTTCTGCAGGAGATGCGTCAAATCCGTGTTGCAGTGAGACGGGGTGTGATCATAGCGGCCAAAGCACATTCAACTCGCACACTCACTCACACACACACACACACACACACACACACACACACACACACACACACACACACCACACACCCACACACACACACACAATTAACACACTCACAACGCACTCACTCACTCGCCCCCCCCCCCTCCGCGCCCCCCCCCCCCCACAAGCAGACTCGCACCAATGATGGAGAAGCGGAGATTGGCTTGGTCGCGCAGAAGACCGGAGCGAAGCACAGTGATGTTGACAAACCCATCATCTTCAGAGACACGCAGCGTTTCATTCTGCATGCGAATTGCGTCATCATTGGCCAGAACAACCAGGACGGCGCGGGTCAGGTTGCCCTGCAAACGGGCGTTGCTTGGGGGCAGCAGCTCAATCAGGAAGAACTCATCCTCCTCGGGAATGTCGTCAGCAAGAACGTCAAGCACAAGCATGCCGGTGCGCTGGTCTTCCTCAAACGCCACGGAGCCCAGCGTCGGCGACACGTCTGCGTCCGCTGGCTCACCCACGCCCGTCACAACACACGACTCGCGCTCCAGCGCAGATGCGCACTGCATGACACGGAAGGGCACGTCCACCGCCTCAAATGCACCGGCCTCGCGTTGAATGGGGAACGACACGCGCGTTGTTGCGCTGTCACCAGCAGCGGCAGGCGGCTCGGAGCCCGTCATCACGGCAACGGTATAGTTGCCGAGCTGGTAGGTGTCGTTTGCCGGTGCAAACGAAAACACGCCACGCGGGTCGTCGTTCTCTGGCACAATCACGGTCGCCTGCGTGTGGTCGCCCAGACGCGCACCGCCACTCACACCCTGCAGCGTCGCTGTCAGCTGTGTCTGCAGCTCAGGCCTGGTGTCTTGCAGCACCTGCAGGGCCACGAGCCGGCTGCGCACTCCACGTGGGAAGGGCACAACCCGTGTGATGACCACGTCCACATCGTTGAGTTCCGCAGGCTGCAAGCTGACGGTGACGGTAACGGCGTCAAGGGCGCCGCCAAGCCGCTCAATGGTGAGCGCGATGGATGAGCCCTCCTCGGCCTGCAGCGGGCCACGTGATGCCGCGTCCCACTGGAACACGCCGCTGGGGTCGTCGTTGGCAAGCACAGTCAGGGTTGCGCTCGTGGGCGTGGCCAGGCTGCCAACACCCTGCGTGACGTCGACCAGGTCCACCTCAAACTGCTCGCCAAACTCGGGAATCGCATCTGCCACCACACCAACGCGCAGGAACGCAGAGGTCTTGCCTGCAGGCATGACAGCAACGCCCTGTGTGGCCACGACGTCAGAGGCGTTGCCGGTTCCGCCGACGGGGGTGATTTGCCACGCAATGTGCATGGTGGAGTAGGAGCCGGAAGTTCGCTCCAGCAGGAAAGTGGCGTTGGCCACACCGCCCTGCGGCTCCACAACATCCACCTCCAGGGATGACTGTGCAAAGCTGACAAACCCAAACACGGCCTCAAACGGCAGCGTGAACGTGAGCGACGAAGGGTTGCCCAGTGCGGGCGGTAACTCCTGTGCGCTTGCAGCGTCTGCGTAGTCGCCAACGACTTGCACGGCCTCAAGGGAGACCTCGATGGTGGATGTGGCGCACAGCGGGGCGTCTGGATTGATGCGCACGTGCACGGTGATGGCATCCTGCCCATGCAGAAGCGTCACGCTGCCGGTGTGGTTGCGGACCTCCACGCCTTCATCGCTTGACATGTTGGGGTCCGGCATCATCGGGGCTGCTGTCGTCGTCGTCAGCCCGCTGCTGTTGGTGCTGCTCGTGTTGCCACCACTTGTGGCTAGGGAGGTGGTGGTGTCGAGAAAGACGCTGTCCTGTGGCGGGACGGTGCCGTTCTCCAGGCGATACGTGGCGTCAAAGGAGACGCGCACGTCACCGATAGTGCCAAACGTGCGCACGACGGTGAAGGTGAGCACGCGCATGCTTGCGCCCGTGACCTGCATGCCCACAGACGCGTTGCTGAGCAGGAAGAGGCCATGGGGGCGGTCGCTCGCCCCAACAACCACGTCCGCGGTTGGGTCGGATTCCAGCACCACGCCGTCGCTTGGGTTGGACAGGGAGACCACAAAGGCCTGTGCAAGTTCCGGCGTCATGTCGTTGCGCACGCGCAGCCAGATGGTAGCCGTGCTCTCACCGTCCACCCACTGCAAGGAGCCGCTCGTCTGCTCAAACTGCACCTCGGCATCGACACTGCCGTCCACAGCGGTGAGCGCCCAGGACACGGAGGCGTCCGCAAGCACGGGCTGTGCTGGCGGCGGGTTTGGCGGTGTGCGAGAGACGTTGAGGGCAACGAGAAACGCGTCTGTTGTGGCTGATGTGGGCTCGCGTGCTCGCACGCTCTTGCTGGAGGAGGTGAATGCCACGACGCCTGCGCCGCCATCAGACGGTGCGACGCGGATGGTGATGTTGGGCGAAGGCACGACAATGTCGCCGGTTGGATTGGTGAGCGCGATGGTGACGCTCTCGCTGGCCTCTGGCGTTGTGTCGTCCTCGATGGTGAGCTGCAGCTGGCGCACACGCGCTGAGGACGTGAAGGACAGCGTGGTGGCGTTGGTGAGTGCAGCACCAAGGACATGCACGTCCACAGAGGCGGGTCCAGCCGCCTGCCCGGACCGGACGACCGTGAACGTCAGCACGTCGCCCTCGCGCGCTGAGGTGGCAACGTCGCCGACAAACGACACCGTGTCATCGTTTGCGGCGATGATGAGGGTGATGCTCTGGCCCGCGGGTGCTAAGCTTGCATCGCCTTCGCCGCCGCTGCTGATGCCTGTGAGTGAGACGGTGATCATCTCTGCGGGCTCCTGCATGGTATCTGGGGTGACCTGGAGCGTGATGTTGACGCAGCACGTGCCTGCAGGCACAAGCACGGAGCCCATTGCAGGCTCAATGTCTGTGCGGTGCGCACCGGTTGCGTTGTAAGTGATGGTGATGTCGCCAAACGTGCCGCCGGAGCGGGCGATGGGCAGGTTGACGATGGTGGGGCGCGCTGGCTGCGGGCCCTCAATCACGGTGATGGGGGTTGCTGTGTCCAGGTCAAAGCTGAAGGTGCCATAAGGGTCATCGGAGGCGAGGATGGTGACGGACGCGGGGTCCAACACGCGGTCGATGACGGCGCCACCGGTTGGGCTCTGGAGCTTGAGCTCAAAGGACTCGTCAAGCTCGGGGATGTCGTCATCACGCACCACCAGCGTGACAGTGGTGGAGGCCTGCCCGTCCTGGAAGAAGACAGGGGCGTTGACGGTGGCAAAGTCCGCGGAACCGCCCAGCACGGTGAGCAGCGCACCAACCACGCCCTGCGTCCCTGACTGGCGCAGCACAGTGATGGTGATGAACGTGTCTTGATCTGGCACCTCCTCCGCCACGTAGGGGCTGCTTGTGTCCACAACCAGGAGGCCGTTGGTGTAGTCGCTGGGTGCGATGGTGAGGGTGGCTTTGGTCTTGGAGGACGCAAGCCGCCCCGCCGTGGCGTCGAACAGCTCAAGCGTGTACGTTTCCGGCTGCTCTGCGACTGAATCTGGAACGATGGTGAGGACAATGGCGGCAGCCGTCTGCCCGTCCTGGAAGGAGACGGTGCCTGATGTTGCGGCGAAATCGCTTGCCGCCGCCGCTGCCTCCTTGATGCGCCAGGACACGTCCACGGCACCCAACGTGCCTGCAGACCGCGTGACGGTGAACGGGACGTCGGTTTGTGTCTGCGCGCCCTCGGGCTCCTCTGCGTCCTGGGCAAGCGAGGCGTCTGCAAAGCGGAACACGCCAGAGACGTCGTCGTTGCTGGGGATGGTCACCTGGACGCTCGCGCGTGCCTGGTCGATGGCCACGTACGGCTGTGGGCTGGCATCGAGCAGCGTCACAATGAACTGCTCCTCCATCTCTGGATCGCTGTCGTCAACAACACTCAGCACCACGGTCGCCGTGCTCGCCGTTGCATTGATGGTCACCTCACCTGCGTGCGTATTTGGGTGGGGGGAGGGGTTGCGTGTGTGTGTGTGTGTGTGTTTGTGTGTGTGTGTGTGTGTGTGTGTGTGTGTGTGTGTGTGTGTGTGTGTGTGTGTGTGTGTAAAAGTGCAAGTGAGTGTGTGTGTGTATATATGTATATATATATATATATATGTGTGTGTGTGTGTGTGTGTAGAGATGGGAGTGGGGAGATGGGAAATACATATATATATATATGTGTGTGTGTGTGTGTGTGTGTAGAGATGGGAGTGGGGAGATGGGAAATACAGAACGTCGGCAGAGACAGGCGATACAGCAAGTCAAACATACGAGTGACGGGCGTGACGTCAACGCCAGCGGTTGCTGTGTCCGAGATGACTTGCACCGAGTACGTGGTGTCCACAGCCACGGTCGTGAAGGGGTCGCGTTCGATTGTCAACACAACTTGTTGCCCCTGTACAAACAAAATGTGTGAGGACGCCGTCGATGCAGCGGAGCGAGCACGTCACGATGTGATGTGAATGGGTCACGAACGTGGCATGCCAAGAAGTCAACATGACAGAAGGGCCAGGGCAGCAAGGTGCGTGTGTCGTGGCATGATATGCACATGTGTATCATCAATTTGCGTACATTGCATACACAGCGTGAATGCATGAACTGTGGAATGTGTGCAAATACGCAGCAAGACGCACCTCTTCTGCAGTGTATTGGGAAATGGTAAACCCTGCTTCGACCGTGTCAACATCGTCGTCAAGCACGCGAACCGTTGTGGCAAGGACGCTCCTGTTGGATCGTGTGTGAAGGTGTGTGTGAAGGTGTGTGTGAAGGTGTGTGTGTGTGTGTGTGTGTGTGTGTGTGTGTGTGTGTGTGTGTGTGTGTGTGTGTGTGTAGGTGGATGAGGCCGGGCATCAGGTTGGGAATCATAGATTCCAGCCACGCCGTAAATGCAGCATGAACAAAAGTACAAGCGCAGGGGTGGCGAAATCAAGGGGTCACGCACCCTTCGTCTGTTGCGATGGTTTGGCCCGCTGCGTTTTTGCAGGTGTGTATGGACACGCCAATTGTCTCTGGGGGCTCCGGCACATCATCATCAACCAACTACCATGTGTGTATGTGTGTGTGCATGTGTGTGCATGTGTGTGTGTAGTTCGTTCGGTCAGCATTAAGTAAACTCTCAGTTGCGTGAGCGCGCACACCCGGCTCCGCGTAGGGGCATGCGTTTGTGGAATCATGACCATAAGAGAGAACAACGAACCTGAAGTTGGAGTTGTTGGCTCTCTGCAGCGGAGAGGAGCACAAATCCGCTTGTGGTCGTGAAATCCGTGCCATCAGACGATGCCGTCTCCCCCTGCGCAGCGTGCATGTGTAAGTGTGTGTGTGTGTGTGTGTGCGTATGTGTAAGTGTGTGTGTGTGTGTGTGCGTATGTGTATGTGTGCGTATGTGTATGTGTGTGTGTGTGTGTGTGGAGAAGATGGAGATATTGAGAGCACGTTTCGAGCGTTTCAAGCAAATGCATGCAAGCAGCAGATGCGTGCAAGATAGAGCTCACGGCACCCCAACTTCAGGCACTGGTTGATGTGAGTTGTTCGCTGTACCTGGGCGACGAAAGAGCAGTTAACGCCTGCACATGGCCCAGCACATGATACGGGGAGCAAGGCTGTTGCGCTGCTCTCCAGCACTGTGTATTCCTGACTACTGAAAGATACCTGGAGCACGACGCAAACAAGACAGGCTTGGTGTGAGACGATGCTAGCGTGGAGGTGGGCAGAAACGCACACGCGCAGCCCACACTGCCCAGCCTCGTTCACACGTACACTGGCTTCACGTTTCTTACCAGTTGGCCATTTGCTTGCAAGCACATCAGCAGCGTGCACAGCACAGCAACTGCCAATGCACAGGCTTTGTGTGTGTGTGTGTATTCATGTGTGTGTGTGTGTGCATGTGTGAAAGTGTGAGTGCGTGCATGTGTGCATGTGTGTGAGAGTGTGAGAGTGTGTATTTGTGTGTGTGTGTGTGCATGAGCGCATGCGTGCGAAGAGCGCCGCATGCCTTCATAAAGCTTGCATGAGTGGCTTGCTTGCAGGCATTCAAAGCTGTGGGCATGCTGGGATTCGCACCTCTTGGGAGAGCCCAGGGTGGATGGGTGACACCCATGCCACGCAGCAACGCACTGGGGGCTGGATGTTCTGTACGTGAGTGCACGTTGAGGTGGTGAGAGTGAGATGCGGCGCTACAAGACAGTGCATGACACGTTATGGAGAGTGGCTCAGCAGCTACAACAAGATGATAGCCTCTTGTGCAGTTGATGTGAGTTTTGCAGCCCAACAAACCACGAGCAAACGACACCAAAACCACAAAAGCGAAGCAAGAAGTTAAGAAGCAAAGAAGCGCTGCCCTACCTCCTCGCCTCTCGTTGTCTCTCTCTCGGTGTCCCTGCTAATCTGTTGGGAGGGACGGCTTCAACGAAGGCTTGAGAGCTGTCACCGGTGCTGCTGTCGCTGCTGCTGTCACTTTGCTGCTGTTCTGTGGTCGTTGATTGTTGTGGTGTGGGCGGGTGTGGTTTTGGCACAAAAATAAAAAAATTCTGCAAGAAGGCAGGAACACTGCCGCCGCCAATTTGAAATGAAGAGAAAGAAGACAGGAAGCGAGAAGAGAGGCAAGCACAGGAACTTCTGAACTTGGAATGGCCTCTGGGGAAGAGGAGCAAGAAAGACGGCGGCGTGCTTCAGCTCCTCACTTCCTCAAGTCCTATTCAGCAGTGGCTCTTCGCCGAGCTTCGTGGCACTGTTCTCAGCGTATCTTGTGTTTCTCAGTATATGGGTGTTTCTATGTTTGCACTGAACACGCAAACGCGAGGTCGCTCTGCAGCTCTGCAGCTCTGCTGCTACAGCGCACGACATCACAGACAGAGAAGGACGACAGGCTACATTGTTTTCTGTGGCGCTCTGTGACTGCTGGAACGTCAGCGTTGAGGCGGGGGGATCTGGATGGAACCGTAGGTACTAACTAAGGCCGCTACAAGAAAGGAAACAGCCCAGCAAGCAGCAAAGTACTACAAAAGTAGCAATCCTCTATGTACTTTCTGCTTTCCTGTGTACTTTCTGTGCGTTCCCTTCCTTTCCTCCTTTCCTCCAGTCTTCCAGTCCTCCTCTACTCTTCTTGCACTCTGCTTGCTTCCAGTTCCTTAGCATTGGCATTTATTCTTATTGCTCTTAAGCTCTGACACACACCCCACACACACAAAGCTCATCTGGAGGAAGGAGGAGACTAGGAGAAGGAGGAGAAGAGACACAAAACACTAGAGAGGGAAGAGGGGAAGAAGAGAAGGAGAAGGAGAGAAGGAGAAGAAGAGCAGAAGAGACTGAACGAGTAACGAGGTCATGTCTTCACGTCAACAAGTCCTCAAGTATCAAGTAGTCACAGCAGACACACACATCAAGTCAACAGCTCAAAGAGCAACCTTTCTTTCTCGCCTGCCTGCTTGTGCTTTGCCACGTTGGTTTGAATTTTCGTTGGTGCTTTCACCAATTTTCCAAACTCAAACAGCTGAGGCAAGCAAGACAGCGAAACCAGAAACCGCACACGAGCACCAGTTCCACGCGCGCACACACACACACACACACACACACACACACACACACACACACACACACACACACACACACACACACACACACACACACACACACACACACACACACACGAGCACACACACACACACACACACACGAGCACACACACACGAGCACACTCAAAGAGCAACCCCCCTCTTCAACGCACACCATGTTGTCGACATCGCTGGCCTTGCTGCGACGCGCAGCGCTGGCGCGCATGCCAGCTGTGTCGAACGCAAGGACGTCCGTGTTGCTGTCATCGCGATGTGTGGCCCGCTTCCCTGCATCCACTTCAGCCACAGGTGGTTCATCCAGGCTGTTTCTGTCAACTGCCCACACCCACAGCTGTGACGACACCAACAGCACCAGCAGCAGCGGCAGCAACGCCGGGCCAGCCGCCTTTGCCACCTCACACACAGCCGCAGCAAATGCGACTGCACTGGCGATAGCCCACATGTCTGCTGGAGACCTGTCCCGGCTGCCACTGCCTGCGTCGCCGTCAATGGTGCAGCTGCAGCAAGCCCGCCTGTACAGCTCAAGCACGCGCACCAGCAGCACCAGCACCTCCAAACAGCACCTCTCTGCGTCCCCGGCAGCGTCCGCTGGCCAAGCGCCACAGAAGCAGGAGGCCGAGGAGGACGAGGAAGAGCGCGACCGCAAGGCAATGCAGGGCCTCACCTCCATGCAGAAGTTCCGCTACATGCTCAGGAGGTATGGCAAGTTTGCGGCCGTGTACTACTTCCTCCTCGGGACCGCCGACCTCAGCCTCTACTACACAGCCATCAGCATGGGCGTGGACGTGCAGCCGTTCCTGGACTCCATCTTCTCTTATTTTGGCGGTAGCCCAGACTGGGTCTCCCCGAAGTACGGCAACCTCATTGCAGCGTACAGCGTGCACAAGGTCATGACCGTACCGCGCGTCCTCGTCGTCGTCAGCACCACCCCGTCCATCATTAAGCGAATCAAGATCAGGTACCCCAACTTTTACAACAAGTTCCTCAGATGAACGCCCCCTGCGTCGCCGTCGTGCGGAGGGTGGTGTTGCTCGACTGCCCACAGCAGCAAGTTGGTGAGGTGGTGAGTTGGTGACAAAACATTCGTTCAGGAAGAGTGTATGTGAGTCAGCAGGAGAGACAGAGACAGAAGAAAGAAGCAGAAAACAGAGAGGTTGTGTATGCGTGTGTGTGTGTATGCGTGTGTTGTGTGTGATGACACTTCGGTTTTGATGGCCAGACGGTTGTTCGCGTGCCATCACGCGTAGGTCCCCTGCTTATGTGTTCAGTTGCTTGCTTTCGTGTGTACAATCGATGCGTGCGTGCGTGCGTGAGTGCGTGTGTGTAACAGGGCGAAACGTCCATGTGTGCTGTTCTTCGTCGCCTCTGGCCCCTTTTGCTTGTGCGGTGAATTGCTCTGGCGACATGTAATAAATACCACACAACCACGGTGGTACGTATGTCAAGTGGTTCAAAGAGAAAGAGGGTATTGAACGCATGTAGGGAAAGGAAAAGAAGGGGAGGAAATTCAATGAAGTAACACGCATCACATCAGTGTGGCACAACTGCGAAAAAAGCCAATAACTAACGTAAGCTGGCTGCCAGCGAGAACACACACACACACACACACACACACACACACACACACACACACAGTCGTAACGTTCCGCGCAGCAGCATCACCAGCAGCATCATCATCATCGTCATCCTTGTCAGGTCCTCTTTGCGTGTCTCGGGCGCGGAGGTGTGTGGATGCGAAGACCAGTGCTGCCGTTGCTGTGCACCTTGCGCTTTCGCAAAGAAGGAGGGGTTGTAGCAGCCACACCCACATCAGCCACACCCACAGCACCACCACGACCAAGAGCACGATGACGATCACCACCACCGTTGAGGTTGGCATCGCTTTGGCCGCCGTTGTTGCAGTGGCCATCACCATAGGCGGCAGTCGACACGGTCGTCGCGCCACCACCACCGCCACGCACGGCTGTGGGGGCAGCAGAGCTTGCATGGGAAGGGCGGGCAACTCGAAGGTACACCACAGCGCCGCCAACTGCCACCGTGCACACCAACAGCAGCGCGCACAGTGCAAGCGCCGTCGCCACAACCACCAGCGACTCCAACCGGTGCACGTCCGCGCGCAGCAGCAACACATCTGCATGCAGGCTCATGACGTCATGTCGCGTGCTGCTTGCGTCATCGCGCAGCGTGCGAACAGCGGATGTCAGGTCTTGCTCAAGCCGGCGCGTGCGCTGCGACAGCTGATTCAGGTACGTGTCTGTCAGCGACGTGTCCCGCTCCAGCTCCGCAATCCGCGCCCGCAAGTGCGTCATAAACGAGGCGGTTTTGGAGCGGGAGGTGAATGAACCAACACCAGCAGTGGGCGCGCCGGCACCACCGCCACTTGCCGGTGTTGGTGCTGCCGTCGTTGTCGTGTCGGCCGTGTTGGCTGTCTTGTGCACATTGGGAGCTGGACTTGTTGCGTTCCTGTGGGTCTGGTCAGTCGTGTGCGTGGCGTTGGCATGTGCAGTGGCGTTGTCGGCGCTGGTGGCTGCGCTCGCATGGACACTGCCGCCCACGGCAACGGGCTGTTCGTCTGATGACCTGCTGCTGCGGCCAGACCGCTGATCATCCCTGCTGCTGTTGCTGGTGCCATTGTTGGTGGTTGTGCTGGTCGTCGTTGTTGCTGCGTCGGGTGCCTTGTGGCGGCGGTGGAGCTGCACGGGTACCGTTGGCAGGCCACCAGCCATCGTGCACCTGTCGGTGCGGCATTGCGCGGAAGACCGCGCCATCCCCACGCTGATCATGTTGACCGTGTTGGTCATGTTGAGTTGTGGACACTGCCACCACCACCACCACAGCTGCTCCGACCCTCGTGCGCCTGTCCGTCCTTGCGGCGATGGAGACGCAGCAGAGCGACCTGCACTCTCGTGCGTGCCGTCGCTGCTACTTTCATCATCGTTGGTGCTCGCGCTGGCCCTTGTGTCACCGCTGCCGTTCCTCTGCTCACCATCAGATGCACCATCATGGGCAGCAGCATCAGTGGTAGTTGTTGTGGGAGTGGCGGTTGTTGTTGTTGTGTGTTGCGGGCGCCCAGCACGCCCCGCCTTGGGCAGGCAGCCCCACCGCACCGCTGCGCACGCGTTACACGGCAGCGTCCGGGTTGGCCGCAATGGCGAAGATGATGAGGTGAGCGCTGCCGTGGCCGTGGCCGTCCGTTGTGGGGATGACCGCGTGTGCTGCGGCGGCCTGCTGGCGTGCGGTGCAGCTGCGTCACCCGACGATGCACGGCCAGCAGTGTCTTGGGCCACTGCATCCGACGGCTGTTGACGACTGCTCGAAAGAGCGCCAACCGCGTCATCTCCATCTGCACTGACGGGCGCGCTGACCTGAGGCGGCTGCTGTTGCTGTTCGCGGTGGGGGTGAATGCCGTCGGGGTTGGTGTCCGCATCAGGACTGCTGGCATCCTCTTCGCTGGGGGTCGACGTGTCAGGCACAGCTCGTGTGGGTGTGTCACCGCGCACCACCGACCCGGATGCATCTGACAATGACGACGATTGTACTGGTGGCGATGGCCGTGAGCTCGCTGTGCTGGGTGATGCATCTGCTGTTGCCTCAACCGAGTTCGACCCAACGTGCTCCTGCTCAGGTGACGGCGCCTTGGGCGATGACGGTGCACCCGCTCCCTCCTTGTGCTGCTGGTGCTGCTCGTGCTGCGGCGTGTTTTCATCTCCTCCTTCCGCCTGTGCTGATGCGTGCGGTTTGCCCTGGGAAAGAGACACAAGGCGGGCAGCGACCTTAGAGAGGCCACCGGAGGCACGACCTTCACCAGCGCCACTATGATCACCACCACCACCACCATCACCATCACCCTCAATAGCGGCAGCATCGCCCGAGGCGGGGTCCGTGGTGGTGTCCTGGCTGTGCGGTGCTGCGGCAAGAGCATCATCAACAGCGTCTTCGTCGCGGCCGTCCAGCTCTGCGGGTTCCCGAGAGCGCTGCGCCGGCGCTTCGTCTTTCGATGACACTGTGGAGGAAGAAGAGGATGAGGACCGTGGCGCTGGCGACCGCGCAGGCGTGCCCGCATTTTCGGCGCTATCAGGCCCACCGTTGCTGTCGCCGCCCGCCTGAGCCTTCGTGCCCGCGGCCACGGCAGCGCTTCCACGACCGCCGTCAGTGCTGTCGTCGGCAATGCGTGCAGATGCTGCAACAACATCACGGGCGCGGATCGCAAACTCGTCATCTGGGTTGGCATCAACCGTATCTTCATCATCCTCACCCTGGCCAGCAGCAGGAACGGTATCAGCGGCGTGCGTTGAAGGAGGTGGCACATGATCACCCTCACCTGCACTGCTGTGACCGCCGTCTGCAGCATCAGCAACACGCCCACTTGACGGTGCTACCTGCTCCGCGTTGCCTCCCTCACCATCACCACCACCACCATCACTGCCAGCCCGCGTCTCAGCGCCGCCCCGTATCAGCGACGAGTCTCGCGCGTCCCGCGTGTCTCCAGCTGTGTTGGGCGGTGGTGCCGGTGACGGCGACGGCGATTGATTTGGTGCTGATGTTGTGCCATCCTCATGATCAGGAGTGGTGGTTGGGACTGCTTGGTTGTGTTTCTCCGCACTGTCGCCAGCACCTGTCGCGCCATCATCATCATCATCATCAGCAGCAGCATGATTGCCGTGTTTGTGCATGTCACCTTCATCGTCCTCATTCTCACCATCAACAGACACAATAAATCCCACCCCACGTCGCTGCTGCTGCTGCTGCTGCTGCTGTGGGTCTCGTGCATCGTCAGTTGCACCAGCTGATGTTGATGATGATGATGATGATGATGATGACGGTGGTGTTGCTGTGCTCTCGTTCTCTGCTTGCGTGGCTTCGTGCGATGCAGCCTCCAGTGATGACGGTTTCGTGTCATTCAGCGCAGACGTAGGCAAACAACCCTCTTCCTGGGTGCTGCTGCCTTGCGTATGATCGGTACCATCCACATGCATTCCTCGACCGTCAGCGCCATCACCACGCCCAGCGGTCTCCTCTTGCTCTCGAGCAGCGCGCATGTGGTCGGGTTGGTCGTGTTGTTGCCCTTGCTGCTGGCGCTGCTGCTCCTGTTGCCGTTCGCTTGCATTCCCGTCACGACCATCCACGGCGCTGTGGGTGTCGATGTGGGTGTCGGAAGTGGGCTTCACATCTGCGGGCATGTCAGTGTTCATGGGTGTGCTTGCGCCCACATCCTCCATGCTCCTGCTGTCGCTGGCAGTGCTCGAGGCGCCACCTGCATTGTGCGCTTCCTCCTCCTGTTGGTGTTGCTGGTGGTGTTGCTGGTGGTGTTGCTGGTGGTGTTGCTGTTGTTGTGGCTGTTGTTGTGGCTGCTGTACTTCACCCTTCTCCTCCTCCTCTTCCTCGTCGTCATCATAAGCCGAGTCCACCTCCACCACCATCGCCGGCGGTGACGACCCGCGCATGCGGTCATCGTCTGACGCCCACAGCAGCTGCCCAACCAGTCGCGCCCCTTGCATCACCGTGCCTGCAGGCAATCCGAGCGAGGCGCGAGGTGAGAGGAGACATATTATTCATGTTAAGGGGGTTGCTGTGCCTGCAAGGCTGGCACACGTGAACAACAAAACAGGCAGAAACAAAAAAAAAAAAACACACACACACAAAACAAACAACCAAACAAAACAAACAACCATCATCATACTTGCACACACACACACACACAAACACACACACACATACAAGCATGTGAGCTTACGGGCCAGCGAGGATGTGTGGGCTGCATTGGTTTGCTGGCTACTGGCGCCATCTGCATTGTTCTCATCCAAGCCATTTGGCTCGCCCTGCGCCTGTCCACACATACACACGCACGTATGTAATCGGTCATGCGCGTTAGAAGTGAACGTGAACAGATGGTAGACACGAGGCCGATGACGATACACTGAAAGGAAGCGAGGGGAAGGTCGTGTGTGTGTGTGTGTGTATGTGTGTGTGTGTGTGTGTGTGTGTGTGTGTGTGTGTGTGTGTGTGCACAAGAGGGCGCCTGTTGCGCGATTGAGATCATCCATACCCGCAAGAAGTTGAACTCCTGAATCATGGTCACACCGCGGCACGTCACCACGCTGTGTAGACGTGTGTGTTTGTGTGTGTTGGGGGGGGGGGTGTTGGCACAGGGGCAAGTGCATCCGCGTTTCGGTGAGAGCAGGACAGGGTGTGCAATCCAATGTGCACAAGAAGCAATGCCAGACACACACACACACACACCCTCTCTGTCTCACACACTCACACACACACGCACTCACACACACACACACACACACACACACACACGCACTCACTCACACATTCACACTCACACTCACACACACACACACACACACACACACTCTCTCTCTCTCTCTCTCCACATACATCCATGCATGCATGCACGCACGAAAGATGTACCTGAGGGGACAATAAAACTCCGAGCCGTAGTGCTCTGTGACGTGGAAGCGAACAAACTTGGCAAACTGCTGGCTCTCCACCTGGAACTTTTGTATCGACCGCACATCCTGTTGCGTGCGCACGTGCGTGATATCAAGGGACGTGAGAATTACACCAGCAACGAACAGAGTAAACCGAGGTTGAATTGCGACAAAACGAAACAGGTGTGCAAATCCGTTGTATATGTGTGCCTGCATGCACTGTTCCCGCGCAACACGACAACACACACACACACACACACACACACACGACACATATGCGTATGCGTGCACAACAGCCGACAAAGTGACCTTGAGGTGGAGGGTGCCGATGTGCTCCCACTCCTCTGTTGGGTAGTGCTCGGACGCGCTAACTTCAACCGTCTTGGCAATGGAGGAGAAGAGCTCAAAGTTGGCAATGGTGATCTGCTGCAGCAGCACGTGGTCGCACAGCTCCACGATAAACCACGTGTCCGCCTTGCACGGCACCATCAGGTATGAGTCGCGGTTTGAGCTCAGCACCGCCGAAGCCTTCTTGATGTCCGGACTCGCAGCTACCATCTGCACCACACACACACACACACACACACACACACACACACACACACACACACACACACACACACACACACACACACACACGCACACACACACACACACACACATCGCAGGAGCAAGGAACACGCGACACGTTCAGTGCGTGAGTGTGTGAGTTGCCGACACTGGCATGGCATCATGCACATGCGAAAGAGCTGCATTAACTGCAGCAGCGGCGGGTGGCGATGGCGGTACCTGGGCGCCGCAGTCGTCGGACGCATAATTGGCGCGCAAATGATCCCCAGATGGCGGCACTGTCGAGGAACAAACAGCATTGCGAGAGTACGAACACGGCATGAGCAACAGCATCACCGGATTGAGGCACAGAACACACACACACACACACAAGCGCCAGACACGGAGGCAGACTCACGCACACACGCACACTCACGCACACGCACGCATGCGCAGACATAGAGACGCACGGACACACAGAACCTTGCCTCCCCCCCCCCCCACACACACACAGACATGCGCACACACGCAGAGCTGTACTTGCATGCAACATCAAAGGCTACGCGGCGTACCGTGAGTGACGTCGTAGTCATGGCCTCGAACAAAGTCGCGCCATTCATCAAAGGTGAGCGTGTCGTCCACCGTGCTGGCTAGATCGCCATCCACGGTTTCCCGCATGAGGCTGCTGGGCTCCATCTCCAACGCATGCGCCAGTAGCGATGAATACATTGATGAGGGCGGCGGCGGTCCTCGATCCAGCAGCCACGGCACGGCTGCAGTGCCGGTTGCGCTGCAGTTGTGTTGTGTGGCTGGCGTTGTGCAACGCGGTGAAAGATCGTTCGACGGCTTGGCCTGAAGCTGGGGGCGTTGCGAGCTGGGAAACCCGAGGACCAACACCATCAGCACCACAGCCACTGACGCCTTGTCATAACGTCGGTATCCAAGAAGGTACGCCATCATCTTCAACAACAGCCCCTTGGTCAATTGTTTGTCTCTCTCTCTCTCTCTCCCTGCGCGCGCGTGCATGAAGTGATGAGGTGGTGCGTGCCAACGAACAGGGAACAGAACCAGTGTGAATGTATGCGCGCCAAGATGCGGACAGGCAAGCAAACAATGACACAAAAAAAAAGAAAGGAGAGGAAGCAAGACAGGAAGTGGAGTTGAAGGGGCTGCTCAACTTGCTCTCCAACGAGCTGGAGATAGCCCATCAACGAAGAGCAAAGCACGAGGCAGCCCTGGCTGCTGCTCCTCCTCGCCACCACACCGCCACGTACGCCGCGGCACACAACAGCAGACAACGTTGCTGTCTGTTTTTCCGCGTCAGCAGCTGAGTTGTGGGGCTTACCGGATGGCCGATGATTAAATGAAAACATACACGGAAAATCTACATCTTTTACCAACCGATATTTAGATGAAGATATCCATCATTTGTCGCAACCTCAATCTGGAGCTCCACAAGCAGCACCATTCACCACCACACGCCCTTGTTGAGTTGCTCCCCATATTGATGATGATGAGCCCACGTACTGTGCTTGTGGCGCTGGCTGTGCTGGCGTGCCTTGCCTGCTCCGCATTGGCTTCCCAACCCATGCTCGCATGGTCGCAGGATGAGTGAGTTATGTGGTTTGTGCGTGTGAGCGGTGTGTGTGTGTGTTGTGGTTGTTGTTGTGTGTGTGTGTTGGTTGTTGTTGTTTGTGTGTGTGTGTGTTGAGTTTGGTGTTTGTCGTGACTGTGGCGAGCTGCTCTTGTGAGGCTTGTTGATTGTTTGATCGTTTCAGGTCACAGCACACACACACACACGCACACACACGCATGCATACACGCACACAATGCTCACATCATACAACGCTCACATCGTTCACGTGATCATCGTCGTCGTCGTCGTCGTCAGGAGCTTGGCGTCGTTGAACGTGGCAGATGCCGCCACCTCAGAGCAGCTCGTTGCCTCCTTTATGCAGCCCAAGGCAGCCACCGAGCGCGTTTCCCTCATCTTCGTGCAACAAGACGTATGTGTTGTGACCTGTCTGTATGCAAGCCAAGTGAAGCGTCACCAACCAACCCACCAACCAACCAACCATCAAACCAACCAACCAAGCTGCCGTGCACTGCGCTAACAACACCGTAATGTTTTTTCTTTTTGGTCACTCACTCGCCTTGTCCATCATGCGTGCAGGTGACCGTTGAGGACCTCACCACCTTCTCTCAGAGCACAGAAGAGACACCTTTCCTTCAGGTGAGCCGCACACTGTGTGGTGGTGCTCGTCGCTTGGGCTTGCGATTGGATGATGCAAACTTGTGATGCATACGCTTAAGGCTGCGGTCCCCCCGCTCGTTCTCACCACCGTCATCGCATGCCCTGTTTGCTGTTTTGCATGGGAGCAGAAGGCACACGCTGGCGCCTCTTCCCGCGCCTTCGCCCAAGCACCCACTCCTCTCTCGAACAGGTACGCTTGCTCCTGGTTTGTGGTCGTGGTCGCTCATGCGGTAGCCGGTGGAGAGCAATACGGTTGTTCTCTTGACTGCAGTAAGCGTGTTCTCCTGACTGCGATGATTATGGGGTCCTTTGCCACCACTCATGCATTTTTTGTTTGTCTTGGACCACTCTCTGTCCATCGTGCTTCACTCGCGCCAACAGCGACCTGCTGGCTCTCGTGAACGAGGCTGAGTCATCCATCGTTCTCGATGCTGCAGGTGCGTGTGTGTGTGTGTGTGTGTGTGTGTGTGCGTGCGTGTGTGATCGAGCGCGTGGTTACGCGAGTTGTTTTGGTGGAACCAAGTCTCGCGATTCAGCTCAACCTTTGAATGTCACTGCTTCCTGTCTGGATTCCTTGCAGATGTTACCGCCGAGGCTGTGCAGGGCAGTGCTGTTGTTGTTGTCCGCCTTCCCAGCCGCGCCTCCTGCAACATGCTCACCACAGGTGCGCACCCTCTTTTGCTCTGTGTGTGTTTGTGTGTGCATTCCGTGCTCCAAATTAGCCGAACCTGCCAGCTCATCCACGTGCCACGCGTCTCTCCCTCCTTCCAATGTGCTCTCCCTCGTATGCGTGTGTGTGCATAGACGCGACAGTAGAGTCGATTGTGTCCACCGTTGACGCCGCCGTTGACGCCCCGATGACCGTCGCCTTTCTCGGCACCACCCCCACCACCGTACGCGTTGCGTGTGTGTGTGTGTGTGTGTGCGCGCGTGTGTGTGTGTGTGTGTGTGTGTGTGTGGGTGTGTGTGTGTGGGTGTGTGTGCGATTCTCTGCTTTCTGCTGTTCTTCTTCATCCACCTGCCTCTCCTCTCACGTGACCCTCTGCCAATGATACGCCCCCCCACCCATCACTGCACGACAGATGGCAGCCCGTCCCCGCGCCCGCCGCTCCGCCGCCGTGCCCTCCATCGCCCAGCAGCGCCTCAGCCTCCTCCCAGGTCAGCAACCACACATACACACATACTCACATATACACACACATACACACACATGACACACAAACACAACTGTTTTCGCAGCTGTGTTTTGCGTTTACGTTGAGGGTGAGAGGAACCTGCTGAACCAAGCACCATCACTCACGTCAACTACACCCACGTCCAACTCACGTCCACAACACAACACAACACAACACAACACAACCCCCTGGTGCAGAGCCGACCTATGTTGCGTCTCGCCCTGAGCAGCGTCACGAGGTTGCCCTGCAGTGGTTCAGCATCCCCATCCTCTCTGGCGTGATTGTGGGCCTGTTGTTTGTGTTCACCATCATTGTTGGGTCGTGTGGGCTCCTTGTCACGCAGACGCCCGAGCAGTGGCCCGATGCAGCCCACGACAAGAACCTAGACGTGCCCCAGTAAACGCTTCCTTCCACCCACCACCCCGAGGACTGAAGGAGAAGCGCACACCATGCAGAGCGAGTGGAGTGCGAGAGTGAGTGGAGTGCGAGAGTGAGACAGAACACACACACACACACACACACACACACACACACACACACACACACACACACACACACACACACACACACACACACACACACACACACACACACACACACACACACACAAGACATTGGCGATTGTATGGTATCTTTAGTAGATTTTCCGTACACACGTGGTTTTTGTTTGGCCTGAGAGAAGACAAGTCGCAAACGATGGCGCACCTGGAGATGGACGACGTGTTGAGCGCAGTCGAGCTGCCCGGTGAGGCACACACCCGCAATGAGCAAACCCACGTGGCAGCGCTGCTCCCCACGCACTCCATACAATCACACAAACACACGTGAAAGCAAGCAAATGTGCAAAAAACTCACACTAATTGTCTCCTCCATTGACAATCATCAGGTCCACTTGACAGGGAGGCACTCGCACAGCTGAGCACAGAGGAGCAGGCAAAGTAAGACGCGGTGTTGCGACGCTGCTGCGTTGCGAGCTGTATTGCGATGTGTGACCTTTGCGGCGTGTACACGTGGTGTGACCTTTGCGGTGTGCATGTGCAGCCACTCGGCCGCCCTTCTCTGCTCCGTCAAAACACAGCTCACCGCTCCTCACCTTGCTGATGCTCTTGTTTCTCGAACCAGCGTGGTCGCGTCCTTGACTGATCGCAACGTCTTCCTCGCACAACACATGAGCACTCTCATCGATCACATTGTCAACCCAGGTGTGTGGCAACAGACCAACTGTATGCGATCCTGTGTGTATGTGTGTAGTGCGTGTGCGCGTTGTGCGTGGATGTGCGTTGCGCGCGCGCGTGTGTGTGCATGGGTTTTTGGATGTGCGCACGTCCACGTGATGCATGCGTATTGACTCCTCCGTTGCCTAACGTCCTGCATACCACACGCTCACTCATTTCGCCGTGCACTACTCCATTTCCCTCCGCTTTCTGATGCAGCGCAAAGACAATCACAGCAGCAGCAACAACAACAACAACAACAGCAGCATCAAGGACAGCCACAAGTTCAGCGCGACTGGCCTCGTCTAATCAGGGTCAGCTGCTGTGGGTTTGTTTGTCGGGGAGATGGGGCAGGCATATCGCTTCTGGTCGGCCCTTTCAATCTGTGCCCATTTTGACGTCCCGTGCGATTGCTGTGAGTATCTACATCCCCCATCACCGTCATCGCAGCGCTTACAACATGCGTACCTGCTCGTGCTGTGTTCAGGCGTTGCAAACAGACCCAACGCAGCCGCTGGAGCAGCAGTACGAGGACTTTGGCCTGTGGCGGGCCGTGCAGCGTGCCTCCGATCGCGCTGTCAAGAACACAAAGAAGGCGCTCAAGTCTACACAGCAAGCACAGGCACAGCACGAGCAACAGGTGCATGGCAGTACGCCACTAGCTGCCGTTTTGCCGTGCTCTTGCTGCCCGTTGCGACTACCCACCCGTGCTCCGTGTGCTTCCACCCGTGCTCTGTGTCCACTACCTCTTTTCAGCGCCTCACCTTATCGTCCACTCCCAACACACACACACACACACACACACACACACACACACACACACACACACACACACACACACACACACACACACACACGCACTCCCACATACCTGGCCAAAAGGCAACTGGTGAGCAGGGTGGCCACAACAGCAACGACGATGCCAATGACGGCGATGACGACGACGATGAGAAGGAGCGGGAGTCGCTGCGCGACCTCCTCGTGCAGTCGTACGGCGACGAAATGGCAAAGCTGCAGACGGTGCGGTTGTGTGGCTGTTTTTTGTTGAGTGTGTTTGTTCGTGTTGTGTGTGTGTGTTTGCTTGTTTGCTTGTTTGCTGGGTCTTGATTGTTTTGGTTCATTTGCTGTGTGGTTGGTTGATGGTTCGTTGGCACGAATACCACGATCATCTCATGGCGATGCAACTTGACACCACCACATGTTGATTGAGCAGGATTCGAAGCTGAAGCGCCACCACATTCCGCTGCTCATCAACACGCTGGATATGGGCATGGGTCTCCTGACAGACGAGGAGAAGGCCATGCTGGCATCGTCATGATGATGATGATGATGGCGATGATGATGATGATGATGATGATGATGGTGGTGGTGGTGGTGGTGATGATGATGATTGTTCTTGCTGCTGCTGCTGCTGCTGCTGCTGCTGCTGCTGCTGCTGCTGCTGCTGCTGCTGCTGTTGAGAGGACCAACACTGCTCGTGTACATGCTTTTCCTTGTTAAGTCTTGAGCAATCCACTGCAAGCTCTCCTCCATTTGTGTGCGTGTATGTGTTGACGCAGACATCACGCTGGCTCAACATGACCGAAAACGTCTTTCCTCGCGCTCTCCTCTGTAGGTTGCCGACACATTAAACCGTAATCGCCCCACGACGTTCATTTCTTCCCTCACAGTGTTTGATTGGAGCACTGTGAACAGCACAGCACATGGTACACCACAGAGTATGGCTACACCCAGGAAATCAACAAGTGCACAACAACCTCAACACAACAGCAGTTAGCACGCAAGCAGGCGGTAAATGTTGCAACGTTTATGCGGCAAGCAAGTCAGCACAACCAACCCAACACAACCACACAAAGCAGCAAGTAATGTCTCACACTCGAAGCAAGCACAGGGCAACAGCAGTCACGCCCCTTCTTGCTGGGCTGCTCGGTAACACATGTCACATCACCACAACAGCACATTTCACGTCACAGTAACAGCTCAAAACCGGGTCAAGCGAAACTTGGCACATAATGTAACATCAGTCCATATGAACAACACACACACACACACACACACACACACATACACACATACACACACATACACACACACACCCTCTGTACAAAAATCAAATAGAGCATGTGACACACTGGGGTGATGATGAAGATGAAGATGATGAAGTAATCATAATAGCACCCGTGACGACTGATAAGAACACAAAGCAACTAATAGGAACGAGTTGCTGCGAAAGTCGTGGCGACAACAACAGCGACAACAGCAACAGCAACGACAGCAACAGCAGCAGCAAGTGTCATTGTCAGCTTCACGGTGTCGTCTATCGCTTGGCCAGGCTGATGGATGTGACGGTGGTGTGATCCCCTGCTACCGTTCCAATATCGCTCAGCAGCGCGCACTGCACGGGCGATGATGGCGACGCCACCCACGCGTACACACCCGCACATGTGTCATCCGCAACGCACGCCGCCATGCACTCCAGCGCAGAAGCACCCGCATGTGTAACAATCACAGCACCACCACCATCACCACCATCACTGCTGCTGCTGCTGCTCGGTGCTGTTGAGAACTGGCGGGAGAGGGATGTGGCCACGGCGCCGCCCGTGAACCGCAACTCAAACTCCGGACGCACGTCGCCAAACACATCCACAACCGTCTCTCCCTCACGAATCAGGCGGAGGCTGGCAGACACACCGGATGTTGGCACGAACGCGGGCGATGCAAGGGCGTTGGTGGCTGGACCAAGCATCCGACACGAAACGTCGTTGACTGCGGCAATCGTGGCGCTGCTGCTGCTGCTGCTGCTGCTGCCACTGTCCGCAAAGCTCGTGCTTGCAGGCACGACATACACGCGAGCGCATGTGGCTGGGTTGGCCCTGCACCAGTTGAGGCATGCTGCGAGCGTGCTGTCAAGCGACTCGTGTGTGACGACGCCGTTGCTGCTGCCGTCATCGGCGAGCACCGAATCGAAGCGAAGGCCCTGCGCATATGTTGGGAGGGCACCCACCGCCTCCACCGCCCATGACGTCAGGTCGTGGTGGCCAAATGTACTCGTCACAGCAGCGTGCACGGCGCTCGGGTGGTTGCTCTTGCGGCGCAGGCTGACAGACACAAACGACGTGTGCATGCCGCCATCATCGCCAACAGCCGACAGCACATGGCAGCGAAGCGTGTCTGCCGTGTCGGGGACAACAAACAGAAACACGCCCGCACAGTCCTCCCGCGCATCGCACTCGTGCACGCAATCATCTGCATTGGCCACATCCACAGCCTTGATAACAGGCTTCACGTTGATGGCGGTGGTGAACGCAAGGCCATCCCCCACAGCGCCCGTGTGCACGTACTCGTACGCAGGTGAGGTCGTCATGAACTCGGGGCGCTTCCAGTCGTCAGTCGAGGATGAGCCACCACCACCACCACCGTTGTTGTTGTTGTTGTTCTCTGTCGGCGGCACAGCGGTGGTCACGCCTGGTGCTGGCGGTTGTGTCTCCGGCTCAACGTCGCCCTCAAACTTACCGCCATCGCCACCGCTTGGAGCCTTGACTGCCTCATCGTCGGATGGCACAGGCGCACCGGCAACAATGGCATCATCGTCGTCGTCGTCGTTGTTGCGTCCGCTCGTGGTCACGCGGCGAAGGCTGAGGCTTTGGAATGTGGAGGGCGCACCGGACCACAAATCCCCGTGGTGGGCGAGCGCACGGCAGACGAGCACACCGCCCTGCGTGTACAGGAACACGCCCTTGCACGTGTCGCCGTAGTTGATGCATGCTTGCGTGCAGGCACCGGTGGTGGGCACCTGCACAATGAAGAGCAGATGGGCGGCGTCAAACGCCGTCGTGAACTGCTGTGGCGGGGATGTGGACCCGAGGTCCGCCCCAATGAACACAATGGCAAAGTCCGGATCCGGAAACTCAAACGGCCACGACGGGACTGCGCTGGTGGTGTGTCCTGGCGGCAGGGCGGTGGAGGGTGTTGGTGGAACGGTGTTTCCATCGTACTCGCTGGTAGGCTCCCATGTTGTCCACGCCGTGCTGGAGTATGTGGACGACGATGTCGATGTCCATGTTGTGGAGGAACTGAATCCATCGTCAGGTGTTGTTGTTGTTGGTGGCGGGGGTGGAGCTGTTGTGGTTGGGAATGGTGTCGTGCTCAGCGGCTTGTTGCCTGTGCAGACGTGTGTTTGAGGAGGGGGAGGGGCAGAGGATGTGAGAAGATGAACAGGGGATGCAGTGCTGCATGATTGCTCTTGTCACGACGGCAACTGCCCACACAACGTGTCGGACCAACCACAATGGACAGAGACGGGCAGACGGACACACACACACACAGACACACACAGACACACACACAGACACACACACACACAGACACACACACAGAATGTGTGCACTCCTAACCACAACACCACAAGACCACCACCACCACCATCGCCACCACCACTTGGGCGAGAAACGCACATGACATGTCGAAGGAAAAGGCAGTGAGTGGGCAGGCGACGGAGATAAAGTGTGCTTCAATGTCTGCCGGACATGCAACAGCGGGTGCAAACGCAGTCGCAACATCTGTGCGCGCATCAAGCGAAGCCCCTGCACGTGTGCCCAATGTAGGTTGTGGACATGGTGCATGCATGCGTGTGTGTGTGTGTGTGCGTGAGAATGTGTGTGTGTGCGTGAGTATGTGTGTGTGTGTCAGAATGGATGCGGGTAAGTGAGAGTGGGTCAGTACATGGACGTGGATGTGCGAAAAAGTTGTGCGTGCATGTGCGCGTTTGGAAAACAACATTCGTGTTGTGTTGGCTGTATGATGGTGACCACATGTTGACAGCCTGTGAGCACATCCAACAACAGCAGCGACACCAAGGCGGCAGCAACACGCCTATCCGCACTAACCGAGAGCAGCGATGCGCCAGCGGTTGGCGGTGTAATACAGAATGTACGCATTGTCCAGTCTGCGCACAGAACAGATGACAGAGCGTGTGTGTGTGTGTGTGTGTGTGTGTGTGTGTGTGTGTGTGTGTGTGTGTGTGTGTGTGTGTGTGTGTGTGTGTGCGAATGGGATGAGATGAGAGGAAGGAATGGATTACGGGAACAGACGGTGTGTTGGTTTCCAGCATGCATCTGTGTGTCAACACAAACATTCCCACACCCTGCACACACCACACGCACACGCACGCACGCACCTGACGTAGACGGGAAGAAACTGCTCCTGGTGGGAGTACGCGTACACGCCAGCATACATCTGTCCGGATGACGAGGATGTGGACAGCGTCAACTTGTGGTAGCAGCACAAGTCTGGCGCGGGAGTGCAGTGTGGTGGGCGTATATGTGCGTGTGTGAGTGGTATGAGGGAGGTTCACCGTAATTTCAACACTCGACAGAGCAGCAGCTTCACCACATGCAAAGATTTACAGCAAGAATCAAACTTATTTGTGCCATCCCCCCCCCCAACATACACATAACACACAACACACGCAGGCATATAGGCATAGAACACACACACACACACACATAACGCACACACACATACACAACACACAAATACACCCACAGAGCATGCCCTCACCTCGTGCGTCTGGATCAAAGATGGAGGAGGAGAACGAGACGACTTCAGGGTGGGCGGCAGAAACGACGTTGGTGTCGACCTGAACATGCAGTGTCATGTCCTCGTACAGGCGGCGGTGGTTGTAGTTGACGGAGAACACGAGCGTGGGCGTGCGCTTGATAATCTGCGACGCAACCTGCAGCCCATATCCATCCATGACCGTTACCGTGGCCTGATACAGCACATGGCGATTGCGACGATGGTGATTGTGAGAGTTGTGACGGTGAGTGTTGCGTCCATACAAGCAAACAGGAACGCAGCATTCACTTAAGGGGCTGTATACATGAGCGCAACGAGAGCACACACACACACACACACACACACACACACACACGCACACACACACACACACACACGCGCACGCAACGCATACCTGGTCCATGGCAACACCGGGCCAGTGGAAGGAGAAGAGGTTGGAGTGGGGCAGGGCAGTGTACGGCAGCCAGCCGTGTGGCGGCCAGGCAACCCACGAGTCTGCAGATGCACTGGAGGGGGTGGCGGGGTGCTGCAGCAGAAGAACCGTCAGCTCTTGTCCGCACTGGCACGTCGTGCCCACACCTGCGGCGCACAACACGCAGCAGCATGGTGCATGTATGCGTGTGCATGCGTGTGTGTGTGTGTGTGTGTGTGTGTGTGTGTGTGTGCATGCGTGTGCATGTGAGAGGGTGCAAAGGTGAGTGGACAAGAATCATGGGATGCCAACTCACTAGCGCGCACAAATCGCACTCACCAAAGCTCTGGAGATCCTGGCTCAGAAGCATGGAGCGTACCCTGTTGACGACCATCAAGCATGCAGCAGATACCAATGGTAAGACGGCACACATCATACACAACGAGTGCACAGAAATTCCAACCACACACACACACACACACACACACGCACGCACGCACACACGCACACACAACCAAACCCACGTGGTGCCGTCGCCGGTGTTGAAGATGCTGTCCAGGGCGAGCGCGCCAGAGTCTCCCTTCACTTGGACGGATGTCTGTGTCGCCGACAACTCCTGTTGGCCAGCATGGATGGGGTGGGTGGTGCACACAGCAGCGCTGAAGGTAAGAATTTGCAACAAACGTGAAATACGCAGCACACACATACGTACACACACAGAGAGGCACACACACAGAGGCACACACACAGAGAGGCACACACACACACACAGAGGCACACACGCAGACGCTCACCCACAGAGGCACACACACACACACACACAGAGGCACACACGCAGACGCTCACACACACACACATACACATCACAACACACCGTGATGGTGATGCCGTCGCCGGCAGCGGCTGGCGCTGATTCGGCAGCAGACTGAGCGTCTGCCATGAGCTGCGCGTTGTACGCAATGGGCTGCATCTCCGCCCATCTGCGGTAAAAGTTGAGGCGACTGAGCGCGTGGTTGGTGATGGCAAAGGTGTCGAGGTTTTGCGCACAGTCCTTGTGCTCTGCAGGTGATGGCGCTGTGAACAGCAGTCGGTGATACGCGGACGCGCCATTACGCGACCATCCAGATTGTGCGACAGCCACCCCGGCCATCAACAAGCACGCGACGAACATCAACATGCTGACACGCTGTCGGCAATGATGCATGGTGGCTATGCTGATGTTTTGTTTGTTCGTACTTTCGTGTGGATTGTGTGTGTGTGTGTGTTATGGCTTGTGTGTGTGTGTGTGTGTGTGTGCTTTCGTGTGGATTGTGTGTGTGTGTGTGTTGTGGCTTGTGTTTGTTTTGTGTGCTGTAAGCTGCTGGTGCTAGGTGCTATCAAGTGGCGTGAGGCTGGTGCTGCTGGTGCTGGTGTGAATTTGCTTGCGCAGGGGTGTGGCCGACCACCTCCGGGTGGAAGGTACCACAAGGCTGTGCGGAGCAAACGGATGAACAGGCGAGTGCTGCTGCTGGGCGGTGTCGTTGGCTTCACTCGATCTGCAGCGCGGCGTGGGATCGATGATGAAGAGACAGGTGCAGAGAGGTGACGGAGAGCAAAGGAAGGGGACGGAGAGAAAATGGAAACACACTTTTCGGCCGTGCTTGGTATTTGCTGAAGTTGCGCGTCAACCAGCAAGAGCCCCTCACCAGCAATGCCACCATGCATCCCTTCTCTGCCGCTGCTTTGCCAAGCCAGTGATCCGCAAGGAAGCAGCACGCATCACGACAGTGGAGGCATGCGAACACGCATTGCTGTTGATTCGAAACGCGCGCCGTCGCAAAGGAACGGAAATCACCATAAAACATGGCAAATCCTCCACACTTGCCATTTCTCAGTTTGTGCTGTCGTGTAGGCAAGTTGGGGGCCTTCTTTGCGATGGACGACAGTCGCGGTGGCAGTGGCGGTGGCGGTGGCGGCGATGCTGATGCGGCAAAGGCTCGGTTTGGGCAAGGGTTGAAGGACTTGATTGAGCCAGCCATTACCACCATCGACAATCATGTACAGGCCACTCAAAAGTCGCAAGAATCCCTCCGGGTTGCCCTCGATCAGCTCCACCAAGGTGAGTCTGTGTTGTGTTGTGTTGTGTCTTGTTTGTTTATGTCTGTCTGTCTGTCTGTCTGTCTGTATGTGTGTCTGTCTGTGTGTCTGTCTGTCTGTCTGTATGTCTGTCTGTATGTCTGTCTGTCTGTCTGTCTGTCGCTCTGATTGACCGTCTCGTTTATTTCTGTGTTGGTTGAGGTGTCGCTTACAATCATCAAACCCTCACACGACTTGCTCTTTCACTTGACAGAGTTGACACGCTTTCGGCAGCTGGAAGGGAGTGCCGTGGACATTGACGCTTACTTGCGCAAACTGCTCGAAGCTAGGCAAAATGTCAACAAAACCAACGGCATCCTCGAACAAGTGCAGGTCTGTGCGTGTGTGTGTGTGTGTGTGCGTGCGTGTGTGTGTGTGTACGTTTGTGTATACGTGTGTGTGTGTGCATATGCTTGCTTGCGTGAACACACACAGTCCTGCCCTCACTGCAACCACTCTCCTGATGCACACTCTTCTTCCTTTCCCTCCTTCCCTCATCTCCCCTCCCCTCCTTTTCCTCTCTCGTCTTTCTCTCATAATCCTCTCCCCATCTCCCTCTCATCATCCTCTCCCCATCTCCCTCTCATCTTCCCCCACAGGTTCGAACAAATCGGATGATGCGCAGTGTGGACAAGGTGACTGCCGGGATGGGCAAGACACACGAGCGCCTGGTGGCGCAACGGGAGAAGCTGGAGCGGCTGTCAATCACGGGCCCAAGCATGCCCCCACCCGTGGTCGGCGGCAGCCAATCCGCCCAGGCGACGCAAGACCACCCGGCACAAGCAGCACAGGGCGCTCAACATGAAGAGACAGATGCAGCAGACAAAGAACAGCAGCAGAAGGAAGAACAAGAAGAGAAACGCGAAGAGGAGGATGACGACGAGGAAGAGGATGCGGAACATGATGAGCGAGAAGAATCTGACAAGGCAATGGCGACAGACGATGATGAAGGCAAGCAGGAGGACAAGGGTGAAGAAGACAGCGCAGACAGTGCCGAAGGAAAGACAACTGAACCCGGGCAAGAAGCCAGCACATGAGTGGCCGTCGTGGTGGTAGTAGTGGTGATATTGGTGGTTGGTGATAGTAGTTGTCGTACATCTTCACGTGTGTGTGTGTGTGTGTGTGTGTGTGTGTGTGTGTGTGTGTGTGTGTGTGTGTGTGTGTGTGTGCGTGTGTGTGCGTGTGTGTGTGTGTGTGAATGGAGCCGGGAGGTTGGGGCTTGTGGGAAAACATTGTTACGAGGACATCCCGCACAACTGCGGTGGGGGTGCTTGAGCTTTGCAACGAAAACCGTCATTGCAATGGATGACATGTCCCAATACACAGTCGTTTAGTCATATTCTGTGCTTCAACGAGCAACACCACGCACAACTGAGCCAAAGCGTGAATCAAATCAACACACTTTATGCAAAGCGCAAGCGACAAAGATGCGCTTGCACCCATGTTCGTAGTCCATCACCTGTGCACCAACCCATATCGTTAGCCCCACACCACGCAACACAATCCCACCAGCACACGTGTAGCACAACCCATTCCATCGCACGTCACCTCGGCTGATGCGCGCCTCTGTTTGACGACAGCCCCATGAGGTGCCTGAACATGAACCGCGCACGCGAGTGCGAGATGTGCCTCATGCACAGCGCACGCACGTGGCCCTCGCGTATCACCCCCGTCCGCACGAGCGCCCGCCCATGGCTGTTCACGACCACATCCTCGCCGCCACTGCCCCTGCCCGTGCTGGTAGCGGTCGTATCTGCTGTTGCAGCAGGTGTGGTTGTCGTGTGGCCATGTGTGGTTCCGTTCGCCCGCGCGCCATTCTGCATTGCTGTGCCGCCTCCACTACCGCTGCTGCTGCTGCTGCTGTCATAGTTCATGTTGCCGCTGGGGGCGTTGGCTGTCGTTCCGTTGCCTGCAGGCAACGACTGCGCCTGCTGCCCATCGCGGCACTGCTGTTGCAGGTGCATGAGCTCGCCTGCGGCCAGGACGTCCGTGTCGAGCATGGCGCCCTCCATCAACGCGTGCTGCAGCGGGCGCCACGCAGCAGGAACCTACAGGGAAGCAGGTAGGAGGGGAGGAGATTTATGTTTTATGTTTGATGTTTTATGTGTGTGTGTGTGTGTTTGTGACGCCATGGAGTAAACTACCACATCCTCCGCATCACCCTCCTCCAAGTCCACCAGGACCACCACCTTCCCCCCCCCCATCCCGTCCCTGCATCGACCGGCCGTTACCTTGACGGATCTGCGGGCGCGTCGCCTTGCCTTCGAGAGGAGATCGAGCAGGTACTCCTGCAGGGCGAGGGCGAGCGCAGTGATGACCGACGCCTCCACCTGCGCTGCGTCGCCGAGGACGGCCGGCACCAGGCGGTCGATGTACGGCTGCAGGTCCGCGTCCCCAAACAGCAGCCGGTCCTGCTCTCACGGGGGGGGGGGTGGTGGTGGCAGTGGTGAGCATGGAGAGCGAGTTTGCGTTGCACACACACACACACACACGCACACGCGAACACACACACGCGAACACACACACACACACAGATACACACAGATACACACACACACGCACACGCACGCACGCACGCACGCATGCACTTTGATGCAAGCACACACACTCAGGTGGAAACAAGCCTGCAGGCACAACAACAAAAAACGCCAAAGCAACGAACCACACGGTCCCTGCGCATGTGTTGTCCAATCAACTGCTGGTGCGACAGCAAGTTCTGCTCCTCCTCATCCTCGTTCACGCCGGCCACATCCAACAGATCTTTCTCTTCGTCCTTGTCCTCCTCCTTCTTTTTCCTGTCACGGCAACACGCCACGTGCAGGTAGGTGTGCATGTGTGTGCATGTGTGCATGTGTGTGTGTTGCGTGCATGTGTGTGTGTGTGTGTGTGTTAAATGAGTGCAATCAGGATCAGCCGCGTACTCACACACTTGAACACACTTGTTCACATCTGCACACATGCACTCACACATCTGCATGCACACTTGTTCACATCCGCACACATGCACGCGCACATCTGCATGCACAGCACGTGTTGTCACGTACGCGCCAGGTTTCTTCGGTTTTGCTCGCGGTTTTGCCGGCGTCTCTGCAATGCGATGACGGTACACATGCAATGTCGTTGTGGTGGTGATGGTGGTGGTTGTGATGTGAGTTGGGCATCAACCTCGTCCATGAACCAACACAGAGTACCGAGTCTCACAACCAAGACTTGTGAAACAAAACCAGAGCGACATCACACACACGCACACACACGCACACACACACACACACACACACACACGCACGCACACACATGCACGCACGCACGCACGCACGCACGCACGCACGCACGCACGCACTTGCTCCTGGTTTGCGCGGGCGGCCAATGGGGCGTTTCCCCGGCGTTTTCTTCGCTCGCTTCTCATCCCCATCGCCAGCAGTTGCCGATGCCCTACGCTTCCCACCCGCCTTCCCGCCTGCCCCTGCTGCTGCCGTGGTTGACGCTGATGATGATGGTGTGCTCTGTTTTGTTGGCTTCGTGGGCAGCTTTGGCGGTGCTGTTGTGCCCTGGGGCGCTGGTGTGGACACCTTTGCAGCCTGTTGCGCCTGTAGATACTTGGCAATATCATCCACACTCTGCAGGAAGCGGGAGGGGGAGTGGTTGTGCGTGTTTGCATGCATGTGGACAGTGTGGATGGCGTGAGTGAGGGGGAGACAAAAGATGGTGGGGCGCGCACTCCGCTCAAGGCATATTAACACACACACACACACACACACACACACACACACACACACACACACACACACACACACACACACACACACGCATACACACACACACTTTCCCTCTGGTAGGTACCTTCAGATCTTGCGCAGCGAGGTGGAAAATGCTTTTGCCAAAGCGAGTCATTGGTCCGGACTTGGGCTTCTTGAGGGCCTGCAAGAGCTGTGCCTCAAAGTCCTTGTACGTGTAGCGACGTGCCGATGTCATGCCCGGTGTTCGCGGAGACGAGGCCACGTGCGGTGACGGTGGCGGCGGGTGGCCTGTGCGTGGGTACATGCCCCTACCTGGCGTGGGTGTATGAGGGAATCGAGGCATGCCGCCAGGCGCAGGCGACGCCAATGTCGGCGGCATACCGGGCATGCGCGGCATGGTGTGTGGCGTGGCTGCTGCTGTTCTTGGCGTCGAAACCGGTGGCATTGGCCTCGTTGGAGGCGGCATACCCGGGGATTGCGCCGGCATGGAGCCGGGTGGACGTGGCGGCGGCGCTCCATGCGGCATCGCTGATGACGGAGCCGTGGTCGTCGTTGTGGGCGCTGCTGGTGGTCGTGGTGGCTCTGCCATGTTTGGTGGTGCTGGGTGTTATCTTTGGTTGGTGGTTGCTGAAAATTATGCCAAATCGTTCGTTAATTCTCCTTATGCCACGAGAGCGGGCAACCAGTGACTTCTTGGTGAGTGGAACGTTCTCACGCTCGCTGTAGTGTGTGTGGATGTGCGTGTGTGTGTATGTGCGCGTGTGTGCGTGTGTGTACATACGTGTGTGTGTGTGTGTACATACGTGTATGTACTCGTGTGTACGTGTCAGTGAATCGTTCATGCGATGACTTTGTGCACGCTTCGCGCTTGCGTGTGTTCTTGCTTCATGCCACACCACACTCACGATGCGTTGCCTGCTTTCATTCTTGTCCATCGCACACCATGCAGAAGAGCTACGCGCACACACACACACACGCACACACACACACACACACACACACACACGAGAACAGCAACGCATCAAGGCTTACACAACACACATACACCATGAAGCTGGTTCGCTTTCTCATGAAGCTGTCAAACGAGACAGTGACAGTGGAGCTGAAGAACGGCACTGTCGTTCACGGCACTGTTGCAGGTGCGTCTCATGCCACAATGCAATAGCACAACTCATCACATGGGCCTGCTGCTGCATGTATACACGCAAGCACAATGTGTACGCAAGCACGCACACTGCCGACTCAATTGTTCTTGATCCTGAGGTGGCTATGGTTCTCGAATGATGATGGCTGACACGCTGTGCATCTCGTGCGATCCGTTTGTTTGATGCACTTCTGATGGCTTTGCTTGCTCATTCCCCTCTGGGCATGATTCCCTCTCTTCGATGTCGTGTTTGGTCTTTGGTCGGCACATGTGCAGGCGTGGATGTGGCCATGAACATGCACATGAAGACGGTGAAGATGTCGATCAAGGGCCGTGAGGCAACGGCACTCGACACACTCACGGTCAGAGGAAACACAATTCGTCACGTCATCCTGCCAGACAGCCTACCTTTGGACACCCTCCTCATCGACGACACCCCAAAGATCAAGGCGAAAAAGAAAGAAGGTGTGTGTGTGTGTGTGTGTGTGTGAATGAATGTGTGAATGAGTGAGGTTTGCTTTTGCATGTGGTATGTGTGTGTGTGAAAGAGTGAGGTTTGCTTTTGGATGTGCATGTGTGTGTGTGGTGTGGGTGCTCTGTATCTGCGCTACATCTACTCGCGTTGTTGCTTGCCTTGTCCCGCCTCAATCGCATGCACAGCACACCACACACTCATCCAAACTACCCGCACTCCACGTCGTTTGCTGCGCTGCAGTTGCTCTTGGCCGTGGCCGTGGACGTGGGCGGGGCCGTGGTCGCGGCCGCGGTCGTGGTCGTGGCCGCAGATAAGCTGCTGGCACACCATCCAACCCAAGCACGTCAAGCATGCAGTGTTGCTGGCGATGGCCGCTGTTGGCTGTTGTCCCCACACCGTTCGTGTTTTACTGCTCCATTCTTCGCTCTCTCATCACTCCCTGTTGTGCCCTTGATCGCAACTTGTGCTGAACATGCCTTGGCGCGATGCTGAATGTATGCGTAGTGTGTGTGTGTGTGTGCGTGTGTGCGTGTGTATGAGAGTGCCGATTGACAGAGAGTTGAGTGCGCCTGGCTTTTGTCGTGGTGGTTGTGTTGTTTGTTCAGCGTGCTGCTTGTGGTTCGTGGATGTCTGTTGCTCGTTGTGTGCTCGCTCCACTGCTGTCATGTGCGGAGGATTGTGCGCTGATTGCTCCAACGTAGGAAGCGTCTCACTTCTTTGTGTGTCTGTGCGTGTCGTTGTTCCTCCGTGTCGCTTTTCCCTTGTGTGTGTGTGCATCAGTCCAAGCGCCAGTGTAACGAATGCTTCTTAACACTTGTTTGTATTGCGGTTAACATCATCAACGCGGGGAAACGAGGGAAGCGCTTGCGTTGCACAAGCGCTGATGTGTGATCATCACACCAGGCACAGTCGACAGCGTATACACACATGCGTTACATGTGTTGTCGTGTGGGCGTGTTCGCACGAGCATGCACGTGCCCAGCACATGCATACACATGACAATCCAAAACCAAACACAGCAAAAGGAGCAAGCGACACGGGGGAAAGAAGGCAGGCGCAACAAAAGCCAACGAGGAAGCACCATCATCACCAGCATCATCATCACCAGCATCATCATCACCAGCATCATCATCATCATCATCATCATCATCATGCGTCTGGGTTGCCGAGTTTGCCGAGGTCACGGCACACGGCAAGATACGAGTCTTCTTCCTCCTCGTCGTCGTCAGCGCCATCGCCGCCCTGCACATCAAAGTATGCGTCCTGTTGGTGGTGGTGGTGTTGGTGGTGGAGAATATGAGTGTGGATGGATGGTGAGCACAACGCTGACAAGTGAAGCGAGCAGACACACACATACAAACATACATACATACATACATACATACATACATACATACACACACATACATACATACACACACATACATACATACACACACATACATACATACACACGCATACATACATACATACACACACAATAAGCAAGCAAATGAGTGCACGCACTTGATCGAGAGGAATGCCCGAGGAATCGACGTCGAAATAATCTGCACGTGACGCGACACAAGACGCAGTTGAGGGAAAGAATTACATGTATACCATATGTACAGGCATGACAACACGCACACACGCGCAACACACATGACACACACACACACATGACACACGCATACACACAGAATACCCTCTCAGAGGACACACGGCCACACAGTAAGTACTCTTGTCACGGGTCGTTCGTTCATTCCTTCAATCAATCATTCCACGCCACAACGCACCTGCGTCCTGAAAGAGCGGGTTGCGGCGGCTAACGTCGCCAAAGTTCTCGCCGTTGCTGTTGGTAATTGGGCAATTGGGCAATTAGGCAAGGGAGGTGATGCAGGTGGTGAATATGTTGTCATGCACGCGTTGGCAACACAGATACATGCACATCACACACACGCGCGCGTACGAACCACATAAACCACACAACACACAATACACACATGAACAAACACCTCCACACGCATGCCCAACATCGTGCCCTGATGCTCACCGCATGGCTGCTTCAATCTGCATGTAGCTTTCATCATCGTCCTCGTTTGCAATCTGAAGGTAGGCGCCATCGCCGCCACGTTGGGCACTGGAGCCCTTGGAATCATCATCACCACCCACTTGGAAGTACGATCCGTCAGCACCCGTGGCCTTTCCTCTGCCATCGCCATCTGCCCCGTCCACGTCAAAGTAGTTGCCGCCACCACTGCACGCATCATCATACACACACAGACGCGCAGACACGTACACAGCACGCAAGCACACGACACGGAGAAAGGTTGGTGAGGTGTGTGACTGACGCGTTGAGAAGCGAACACATACACACACCTTCACATTCACTCACAAACACATTCACAAAACACATTCACATACACATGCATACACATACATACACATGCGTACACAGGGGCGCTCGCACGACTGCACAACCCAACGTTCAACCGCCATCAAGGGTTCACGTACGTTCCCGGCGTAAATGAGGAGTACATTTCCACAACTGTCTCGCGTTGAGTTGGCAGCTCCTGTGGGCGCGGTCGTTTCAAAACCAAGATGATCGTCATGTGAATGGAGAAGGCGCTCACGCGACACACGCAAAGCGATCGCGAGCAACGTTTCAAGGGAGATGCACATGTAACGTGTTCGCATGCATGTACTTCTCGTGTACACACACACACACACACATACACACGCGGACACAATCACAAGTACACGCATGCACACACACATACACATACACGCGGACACAATCACAAGTACACGCATGCATTCAACATTACAGCCACAACAGCGCACCTTTGCGACGCCATCGTTGACCATCAGACCAATGTCGCGGAACTCGGGGTTGTTGGTGCGCGCCTGAAATTGCATGCAGGCAACCCAATGGAAGGTGTGAACCTCTCACAAGCAGAGCACTTGGATTTGTCATGCATGTCAACACAAACAACTCACACGACACAGGCATACACACACACACAAACGAACACATAACACAGACATACACACACCACCACCAAACACACACGACAAACGTGCACACACACACAACCACACATACACATACGCACACTCAACCACATCCACACAGCACCACCGGCGAGTGCCAGCACCTGCTCGGCCTGGAGGAGTTTGTGGAGACGACCACGAAGATCACGGAAGGAGCAGCGGTCTTTGGCCTCGGCCGTCCAGCACGTGAGCATAACCTGATACAGCTCATCGGGGCACCCAAAGTTCTGCAGAATGGGATCAAGGGCATTGGGGGAGGGGGATGAGGTGAATGTGAGAACGAAGAGCACACAGAGGGAGGGCTGGGTGAGCATGTGAAATGTACCATGAAAGGGGAACTAGAAAAGCACAAACTGTCACACATAATACATACAATACATTCATACACGCAGAGACACACAGATGGACACAGACACACACAGAGAGACACACACACCCACACCAAACACCACAGGCAAATAATCACACGCCACTCACGCTCGGCTGTTCGAGTCGCGTGCCCTGCTTGAGAATACGACGCATCTCCTTGTTCTTGAACTGCTGATACGGGGGCATGCCATATGTGGCAATCTCCCACATGGTCACACCGCACGCCCTTTGGGTTTTAAGCATGAGCGTGAGTGAGGAAGGGAGGTAGGATCAAACACGCAAGTAAATAAACGTATGCGCAGCACAAACTGCAACTCGCTGTCACCCAGTTGCACACGCACGCACACACGCACGCACGCACGTACACACGCACACACACACGCACGCACACGCGCGCACACACGCACGCACGCACACACATACACAACGCACCAGACGTCTGAGGCCTCTGAGAAGATGAGCTGGTTGAGGCACTCCACAGCCATCCATTTGGCGGGAAGTTTCACGGTCATGTTTGGCTTCAGCTTGTAGTACTCTTTGCCCTCGTCAAACGGTTTGGTCTGCAACAAGTGCGAAGAGGAGGAAGAGGCATTGAATTACGCGTGAGTTTTGTTTGGGGGGCGCAGGTGTGTTTGTGTGTGTGTGAGTGAGTGTGTGTGTGTACATGTGTGTGAGTGTGTGAGTGTGTACATGTGTGAGTGTACATGCGTGAGTTAGAGAGTGTGTGTGTGTGTGTTTGCGTGCTTGCCTTCAATGACAATGCGCTATCGTCTCGCATTCACACGCACCAGGCCGAAATCGCCAATCTTGAGGATGTTCGTTGTGTGCAGCAGGCAATTTCGCGCAGCAAGATCCATGTGCACAAGCCGCTGCAATTGGAAGGCACAAAGTGAGTTCGAGAGAGCGAGTGTGTGTGTGTGTGTTGTGAGTGTGAGTGTGAGTGTGAGTGTGTGTGTGTGTCTGTCTGTCTGTCTGTCTGTCTGTCTGTCTGTCTGTCTGTCTGTCTGTCTGTCTGTCTGTCTGTCCGGCATGTTTACACGGAGACAAGAAAAGAGAAAAGAAACCACGGCCACGGCGCCACGCGCCAGCAGCAGACTCACCTTGGATGCGAGATACGTCATACCAGACGTGAGCTGCAGCATGAGGTTGAGCTGCTCTCCGTACGTCAACTTGATGCCCTTCTCACGGGCAGCCTACAGGTGCAGGTGTGTGTGTGACAGCGTGAGAAAAAGAGAGACACTATATTGGTTGCAAAACCCAGAGCACACAAGCAATCCACTCACACACTCGTCTGCTGCCTTACGCACGCACCCACACACATCAAAACACAAACAAACACATACGACACACACACACACAAACACACACACACACACACACACACACACACACACAAACACACACACACACACACACACAAGCACACACACACACACACACACAAGCACAAAGCGCAATTCTGAGACGACAGGTGCATCATCCAACGTACCACGAGGACGTTCTTGACGTCACCGTAACGCATAAACTCGAGCACGACGAGCCACGGCATGTGGTTGACAGACACGCCCACCAACGACACCTGATGAGCATGGACCGCAGGCACACATATCCACATACATGCGAGATGCACAGGCACACATCCACACATCCACAAGAGCACGCGACAACAATGTTTTGCAATGGTTGATTAAGGCGGTGACGTGAGCTTCTGCTTGGTGAATTGGGGCGTTGACACAACACCAGCGCATGCGCTGACTGGCTGTTGCTTGATGCCGCCAACGACCATTGATTACCACCTTCCACGACCATGAACAACGAGACGGGTGACTGACGAGGTTTGGGTGGTCGAGTTTGCTCATGGTGATGGCCTCAGCAAGGAAGTCTTCCTGGTCCAGCTCCGACGCACCAGGCCTGATGGTGACGTGTTGGTGATGATGATGTGATGATGGTGACGATAGTGGTGGTGGTGGTGATGGTGGTGAACCAAGGGGAGTGGTAAAAGCGAGTGGATTTGTTGGATGATGTGTTGAGGCTGGCTTTGATTGACAGCACACATCTCACCAGATGCTCACCGAGAACTATGTGCACGGAGAACTACAGCACAACCCTACCTATCACACACACACACGCACGCACACACACACACACACACGCACTCACGGACCCACACACAGACACACACGCATACCTGAGAAGCTTGACGGCGCGGTGTTTCTGGCTGACTTTCGTTCCCTTGCGGATGCGTTGCAACGCGAGCCACACCGTGCCAAACTGACCTGCACCGAGCACCTTGATCGCTTTGATGTCACGCCGCGAGATGAGCAGGTGTGGCGGGAACAGATCCGAGATGTCCAACTCGCTCTTTGTCGTTGCATTGAAGGGGTTGTCTGCCTCTGCCCGTTGCATCTCCTCCATGCAGATCTTGAATGCAAACGCGGCTGTCTTGCAAATCTCCCGCGCAGCGCCGGGCGGGCACTAACGCGTGCAATTCGAACATGAATGGGGATATGGGCGGTATGTGTGGTGAGTGCTTCAGCCATAACGCCAGTGATCAAGTCGCAGGCTCAATCCACGGTGGCGCACTCACAAGTGAACAACGCACAAGCAAACATACACGACACACACACACACACATACAAGATTGTACACCTTAAAGAGATGGCAGACGGTTCGAGAGAGCTTTTCATCGCGCGCAATGTACGCAAAGATGTCGTGCTCAGGGTTCTGCAAGCATGGTGGAAGTAGCGAAAGTGGCAGCGGTGGCAGCGGTGGTGGTGGTGGTGGTTGCATGTGAGTAATGGGAATGCGGGTAGAAGGTAGTGTGGTGGACTGGTGATCCGAACAACATGTGCAAGTGTGTAGTGACCCACGCACGTGCTTTCTGTCGTAGCCGCTGTGCAGATGTGTGCTGAAGGCAATGTCGCGAATGTACGTGAAGTGAAGCACATCGCCTGTGGCCAGTTCCACAACCCTGTTACGTGACGCACATGGCATGGCATGGCATGATGTGTGGTGCCGCATGTGAGTGTAATATGTGTTGCAGCGAGGGCATGACAACGCAAATCACACCAGCACTACATATGCGTGTTGACGTGTTTGCATTCGAGAGAAGGACAGTGAGAAAAACACACAAACAAGTGCCCAAACACACGCCCAGACACTCGCTCGCATACACACATACACACGCATACGCACGTACAACCCCTCTCAAACATGTTCGCACCTGACACCCTCGGTTGTCATGACGAGCACGATGCGGTCGCCAACAGCGGTCCAGTCGTCCTCTTCCCCAAGCTTGAGCACGTGCTGGAATTTGGTCTTCAGGTCCAGCATTGCGCGTGACGCAACCTGGTTGCCAACGGCGTCTGGTCACGGAAGTGATGGACGGCGGGTAGTTGGTGGCGAGTTAGCGTGGAGGGTGTGAGAACAAAAGAACAGGCAACGATGACTATGTGGAAGTGCGTGTGCGTGTTGTGCACGGGAGTACATATAACTACATGCTTTCCTGCTTTCTGTATGCATTTCTGCATGCAGGCACTGAGTCCTCACCTTTGACACGAACAGCGCCCAAGTACTTGAGCTCATGCACGCCAATGGGCGGTTTGTGCTGTCAAAGAATACACGCAACAAACACAAGCATGCTCGTGAGAGCCCGCACACAAACACACAGAAGTGCAGCGAGTGTTGGGGGATGCAGCTGCCTTTAAAACCAACACCGTTTAATGACGACCACATCCACAACACAGCAATGCCATCACAAGCATCGCTCGCATCGCTCACATCGGCAACATCTCTGAGAGTAGCGTCACTACTGTTACTCACCACTTCCTTGCGTCTGCGGCCACGCGGTTGCGTAATGACTTTTCCTTCGCGGATGGCGCGCTCTCGCTCGCGGGCCACGCACCGATGCGCAGCAGCTGGTTGAGATGGTGGTTGTTGTTGTCATGGTGATGATGGTGGTGGGGGGGGGTGGTGGTGAATGACAAGGTTCACAATGATGGTGTGCGTGGCTGCTTGCATGCTGTTGTATACGTGTTTCCCTGTCTGCGTAGCACAGCAAACACAACCTCGCCCCACACATGCACTCACCGAAGCATGTTGCGATGGCATCAAAGCCTGTGATGAGACGGAGGACGTGACAGTAGCCAAAGCCAAGCTTGGGGTCGTTGACAATGTAGTAGAAGTGGGTGTTGTCACGCGGATCCAACAAGCTGTCGAGGCAATGGATGGTGACAACAGCCAGTGGAGGCACCACATGTGAGTAACGGTGACAGCAGCATGTACAACCATCCCAGCACACGCGCATGCGACATGACACACGCGGTAACACACAAGATACTGCAGACATTCACACACACATTGAAACACATACACACACATGCAAACTTATACACACATACACACACATACACACCATATGTACACACGCACATGCACATGATACACATACACACGATACACAGAGTTGCGCACCTGTATGAGACGTGCTTGATTGGGGACTCTTGCAAGTGGTCGCCAGTGTCTCTCTCCACCATCAGCACCTGCGCCTCCGTGACCACGAGTGTCACCTCCTTGGCGTCCATGCCAAAGTCTTTCACGCGAGCAGCAGCCTGCTGCACAACGCGGAAGCCTTCAATGTCTTTCACCTGCAGGGATGTGATGCGGCGTGGTGTGATGTGACACAATATTGACGGTTGTGGTCAGGTATTGTTGTGCTGATGAGTAATGGCGGATGAGGCCACAAACCAACATAAATAGCCACTGACTCCATGAAGTCCTCAAGCATCGGTCAAGGCACACGCACGCACACACGCACACACACACACACATGCACACACACACACACACGCACATGCACATGCACACACACACGCACACACATGCACATGCACATGTTCAAGCACCAAACGAGCACGTGAGATGAGAGCGAAACATACAGGAATGCCGCCGCGATAAACGGCCTTGAAGCAGCCGATGGCAGAGTCAAGATAGCTCGCGTCCACCCACGCATCTGACATGCAGACATGCAGAGAGAGAGAGAAAGGGGGGGGGTCAAGAATGAGACGCCGACATGTTGGGTGGGATGGAAACGAGTGGCGGTGGTGAGTGTGTTGGCGTGTGGGTGACGTGAGGTTGGTGCTTGTTGTGGCCATGCACACATGTTGGTGTTGTGGCAATTGTCTCTTGTGTGAACGATACTGGAGAAAAAGGGAGGGGGTAACCTGCTTGTGTCACCCTCACATCATGCAAATGAACACACACGCATGTATTGGTGCATGGTGTACCGGCATCGGCGAAGATGCGGCCCTGCTCCTCTTCCTCTTCGCCAGCAACGTCCGTGTACAGTTCGCCGCCCTGGTCACGTGTTGGATCGGCCTCCTCATACACGACAGGCATGATGGGAGTGCCTGGCCCAGTTGGAAGCGGGGCGGGGGTGGATGAAGGATGAGTACGCAATGAATGAATGAGGGATGACATCTCAGAGAGATGGTATGTGCGCATGTGTGTGTGAACGAACGCATGCAGGACACTTGTCATACACACACATGCACACACAAAGGGACTTTGCGTACTTGCGGCGATGAGCATGGCCTCTGCCTCTGCTCGTGATCCTTCGGCAACCATGTCGGCAATGGCGGCGTTGCAAGCCTTGACAAAGACTTTGCCCTGTTGTGTCGAACACGCACGCGCGTATGACTGGTCGTGAGAGGGAAGTTGCACATGCTTACAAACGCGTGCATACACACGATTGCATGCACACATACATACACACGATTGCATGCACACATACACACACCACCACCACCACGAACAACGCCATGCCCAATGCACACATTCCCCACCACACACACATTCCCCACCACACAAACAAACAAACAAACAAACAAACAAACAAACAAACATACAAACAAGCGCATACACATGAACACACAGACACATGCACTGACGTTCTTCTTGAGGGAGAAGGTGTAGCAATCCATCTTGTTGGTTCGTGACTCGTGGTAGATGAAGGAGAAGAGATGCTTGTTGCGAGGATCTGTGCACACCCATGAGAGGTTGTTCAGAGGAACCTTCTTGATGAGCTCTTTTGTGTTGCGGTCATCAACGTAGATGCCCTTGTCTGTGATGACAATGTTAACGGCCTGGGGCTTGAGCTTGAGGGCGTGAATGCGAGACACGGCGTCCATGCACACGGCGTTGCCCTTTGGCTCCGAGCACGGCACGCTGCCATGGTAGCGCGCCTCAAAGCTGGCACGCACGGTGCCACGCGTCGCTGCTGCCAACGCATTGTTGTTGTTGGACCGGCTGATCCGGCGCATCATCCTGCCCGGTGCTCTGGGTTTGGTGCTCTGGGTTCGGTGCTGTGGTGCTGTGGGTGGGTATGTGTTTGGATTCTTCCTCTGTGTTGAGGGTTGTTTGCGGGCTGCGCTTCTGTTGAGAGTAGTGGAAGGTCGTCGGTTGGTTGGATGGAAGGATGTGAGCGAGCGAGGACGACAACGGCGGTGGTGGTGATGTTCAGGAGTGGCTGGCTGGCTGGTGTTTGGTTCTCAACACCAACACCAACACAACAACATCAACACCTTGTCCGCTCGGCATTCCACTCGTTGCGCCATCGCCACCGCCATCGCCACTCTTCGCTTGTCCGGAATCCAACAGCAAGCGTGTGCGACTACTTTTCATGCTGCAGTTTGCGTGGTTGTTATTTTGTGTTTTTTTTTCCTCGTCGTACGACCTACCACCCCGTTTGGCTTGGCCTTGTTGCTGTTGTCTTATTGTGTACTGTTAAAGGCATTGCCTTTTCTGGTGTGGGGACACTGGGGCGATGAAGAGCGACGGCGGTGTGATGTGACATTTGCACGCGGCACAAAGAACAAGAGAAGACATACTGACACACAGGATAGTAGGGCAAACGAAGTTTACATTGCGCAGTGGAAATCAAGCACCCACACACACACACTCACCCACACACACACACACACTCACCCACCCACACACACACACACACACACACACACACACACACACACACACACACTCACACACACACAAGCACTCGCACACTCTCTCAGACACTCACTATATACATACATACAAAGGACAGAGACACCCACTCCCAATCACAATCAGGCAGGCTGAGTTACAGTGTAAACACACTATCTTCTTCTTCTTCTTTTCCTTCGACCGACGGTACCTTCGCAGCAGCCGGAGCAGCGACGTTGGCGTTGCTATTGCTGTTGCTGATGTTGGCGCTTGAGTTGAGAGCGTTCAACGGCCGCGCCGCCATCTCGCTCTCGTCGGTCGTGGCGTCGTGGTCAGCTTCCGACAATGCGGTGGTGGTCGCGTCCTTGAGCTCTTCAGCACTGGTGCGTTGGACGTAGGATGACGCCGACAAGGAAGAGGACGAACGCTTGGCGCGCACGAGTCCGCCCATGCCATCATCGCCGGTGCTGCTCGTGCTGTTGCACCGTCGCCCCTGCCGCTGTCCCGCGCTGCTGTTGCTTTGCATGCTTGGCGCAAACTCGTGCGCGGAGGTTGATCGAAGGGCGGGGAGCGTGCTGAAGCTTGCTCGCTTCTCCTCCACGGAAGACTTGGACGGCGCAAGCTGGTGCAGCATGCTTTTCTTCCGGCGCAGGTTCTCTGCACGGAGCAGCTTTTGCGCCACCACCGCCTGCTGCGCCCGCCCCTTGTTGCGGAAGATGCGCTGCACGTGTGGCGGCTGCTGCGCAATCCATCCCTTCAGCGGCTTTGAGCTTGCCAGCACAGACTCCAGCTCGTCTGCCTCTGCGGGCTCAAGGTGGACGTGAGATACAGAGGCCCTCCTGTCCTCTCTGTCTGACGTTTCCTCCCTGGTACGTCTGTCGGCATTGGTGCTGCGCGTTGTGCTGCGATCGTCGCTGCCGTCGCTCTCACATTCGCTGCCGCTGCTACTGCTGCTGCTGCTGGTGGTGCTGGTGTCACCGTCGCTGTCGGTCAAGCCCTGACCATCCTCACACCCGCTGCCGTTTCCGTGTGCGTCGTCGCCGCCACCCAGTACGGCCTTGCGCTTGGGCGTGGACGTGGGTACAAAGGGCGGTGTGCTGTCGCCGCGAGCAGTAGTCGTAGCTGATGCGTGTGGCGGTGAGAACACGAGCACTGGCGAGGAGAGCGAAGGTTGTGGCTGCGATATGTTCCCATCGCGGCTGTCATCGTCTTTGCTGTTCGCCCGTGCCGAAGCATGGTGATGATGGTGGTGGTGGTGGTGGTGATGGTGGTGGTGGTGGTGGTGGTGATGGTGGTGGTGGTGGTGTTGTTGTTGCTGTCCTTGTTGTCCATGTGACTGTTGCTGGTCGTAGTGGTGGGTCGCTTGGGAGTTGCCCTCCACGGCAGATGCAGTGGTCTGCAGCTCAACTTGTTCCACCACCTCCCGCTCGAGCCGTTTCTCAACCTCACGCTCCTCATCTGTCCGATCTTCCGTCTCCGTTTCTTCTGCGTGTTGCTGTTGTTGTTGCTGCTGTCTGCCCTGCTGCTGCTGCTGCTGCTGCTGCTGCTGCTGCTGCTGCGGCAGTGGTTGTGTCGATGCGTCGTGCTTGTGGTGATGCTCGTGGTGATAATGGTGGTGCCCATGCTCATGCGTGTGCGTTTCAGATGGAACAACAGACTGCTGGTCTGTGTGGCTTCCGTCAACTGTGTCAGCTGTGCTGCTGTGGATGTCGAGGAGGAGTGAAATGTCCTGCGTCATGCGCACGGACCTCCGCTTGCGCCTGGAAGTCAAACGCAGGTCACGCAGCAGCACCTGCGCCATGGTGTCGCCGCTCACCGAATGCTGCTTCACCTCGCTCATGGTGGTCTCCATCTTCTCCAGCTCCAGCTCCAGCGCTTCCCGGAGCGCAGCCCTCGCCTTTGCATCAGGCAGGCGCAGCAACAGGTCCTCCGGCAAGTACGTCTTCCACGTGTGGTGGTCGATGAAGTAGTCGCCCACCACCTCGTCGTAGCCCCGGCTCCAGCCGCTTGGGAGACGAAACTGCCCATTTGCATCCACAAAGACCTCTCGTGCTTGTGGCCCAGGAACCCGAGCACTGCTGGTGCTGATGTTTGTGTTGTCAAGCTCGCTCATCCGTGGATGAAGCCACTGCCATTGTGTATTTGCGCGTGAATATTTGGTTGTATGTTGGTGTTTTGTTATGTGTGTGTGTGTCGATGTTGTTGTGTGGTTGTGTTTGTGTGTGTGTGTGTGAGTGTGAATGTGTGTGTGTTGATGTGTGTGGTTGTGTTTGCGTTGGTGTGTGTGTGTGTGTGTGTGGTTGTGGTTAAGGCGATGGCCGCGAATGCTGATGCTGCACAGCACACCACACACACACACACACACGCTCAGCCACTTGTTCGACAAGTCAATACAAACAAACAACTCCTCATGTAACGGCATGCAACGACACGAACGCCAGAGCGACCAATCATCCATAACACACACACACACACACACACACACACACACACACACACACACACACACACACACACACACACACACACACACATACACACACACACACACGAAGTCGCGCAGTTCCACTCACCGTTGTAGTTTGTGTTGCATGGTCGATGTAAAACACCTTGCCCGTCTCTGGGTCCCAGGCTTTGTCCCATCCATCGGGGAGTGCGGTTCCATCCTCCTCCTCCAGCATTCTGAAATCGCTCGCACCCCTCACGTTGTTCCCTCCGCCCTGCTGCATCAACAACAGCACCACCACAAAACAACAACAAACAGGTGAACAACAAACAACAAACAACAACGGCCACGTTCGTCGCAGCGGCAACAGTGATGTGAGCCAGCGGGTGCGCAAAAGCAAAGCTGAGTGATGAGGCATGACACACAGTGAGAGGCGGTGGGTCTCGCTTCTTGACACTCGCCTGGCACCCCCTGGTGGTACTACCCGTCATCAGACGAATATTTCGTGTCCTGATTTTGAATTCATCGAATCGACTTACATCAGTCTCTCACCCCTCAGAGTTTCACCCTGGCAAAAATACGCTGACGCTACCAGCATCAGCAATTTTCTCCAGAATACGAAAATTGGGCTTGCTCACTTGCTGGTCTGCTTTCACATCAGCACGACTTGTGACCGACCACCATTACCATCAGCATCTCGACACCACAGCTCGCACCCCCTCTCAAGCTCTCCGTGTCAAACTCCCCCCTCCCCCACCATGGCCCCAACACACGACGAAGATGCTCCCCAGAGCAGCTCCTGGACAGATTGCTTCAAGTCCCGCACCAAGAAGCAGTGGGGTACGTGCGAGCCATAGTAAATGGTGCATGTGTCTGGGTGTGTGTGTGTGTGTGTGCTGTGTGTGTGTGTGCTGTGTGTGGTTTGTGCAAATGTGGCATGTGCGTGCAAATGTGTGCGCATACGTGAAGAGAGGGAGTTGGGCTCGCATACGAGGTTGGGCACTTATCACGCGCACACAGTGGTGTGGTGGTTGGTTTTGGCAGTGGGGTTGCTTTGTTCAAGACTGATGGTATGTGATCTTGCGCTTGCGTCGACGACGATGATATGGTGTTGCTTACCTTGGCGCGCACTGCGCAATGGATCTCTGCTCTTCCCCCCTCCACCTTGCTTGGTTGACCACATCAGGGCAAATTGGCGGCGCCTACTTCATCCTGTACACCTTCTTTGCCTGCTGGATGGCAATGCACATGGCCATCTACGTCAGCACCACCCCAGAGACTTGCACCTTCACCAACGGTGGCAACGTCTGCATCGGCGAGCCACGCTTCTCTCGCTTCCGCCGCTCCAACATTCGCGGTGTCGACGAAAGCCCCAAGTTTGAATGCGCAGAGGGAACGTGAGTCTCCTGCTGATCTCGTCTTGTTTCGCTGTCCATGACACCCTTCTTTCATTTGTGGGGCCGTTTGTTGCGACGCAATGCTCGGTTGGTCTCCATCCACTTGATGCGGTAGCATCCACTCTGCGGCGGGCTGCAATCGGTAGCATCCTCCTATCCTGTAGCGGTGTTGCTGATGAGCTCACACTGCCTTCCATTGGCCATGTGGTCTTGTGTGTTGCATCTCAGGTGCACTGCCGCCATGGAGCTGCGCATGAACCGCGACTTCCGCTTCCACCAACTCGATGGCGATATCCAGGTCGACTGCATGCTCGAGTCGACTGAGCTCAACGTCTCCACCATTTCCTACGCCTTCTCGAATTGCCAGATCCCCGCTGATGACATTGAGAAAGTTGTGACCTCCGCCACGCCAGCCGGTGCTCTTGACATGCGCAGCTGCAACGCCAGCCAGGTGAGCGCAAAGACAAGCTGTTGATGCACGAATACGACACACCCACTGTGTCTTGGTGGGGGTTTCGCTGTGTGGTGCTGATCGCCTGAGTCATGGGTTCGACTCGCTGCTTGTTGTGTGTGCTCTCCACCGTGACTCACCATCAACTGCTGGCTTTGCTTTCACAAAACAGTCCGTGAGCATGCTCTTTGAGCAAGGCGCCATGCTCCCCTTTGCCTACGCCTTCCAGGTACGTAATGCATGTGTGTGTGCGTGTGTGCGTGCGTGTGTGTGTCGGCGAGCTTAATGCCTGAGTACCATCTGCACTGTCGTTAACACGAGTATTCCTTGCGTGCTTGTATGTGTATGTGTGTGTGTGTGTGTTGTGTCGACCCACAGCTTGAGGTTGACGAGGTGACAGTCAAGCAGGTACCCTTTGAGCTCAACGTGCACTGTACCGTCACCACCAACGAGCACTCTGCCAAGATCGATAAGGGTACGTGCGCGGGTGCATCGCATGTCGTGGGTGTATGCGCTGTGTGGGTTGGTTTGTTTGTGTTGTATTGTGTTGTTTCCAACACACTTCATGGGCCAGGGCTGTCCATAAACGCTGCACACCAACATGCACGATGCTCACATGCCCACTTTTTGTTTTTTGTGTGTACGTACCACGACACCGTTCTCTGCCCACGCACTCGCTTCTTTGCAGATGACATGACCTTTGAGCTTCAGACACCCTTCTGAGCAGCACGAGGGTTGATGAAGAACCTCGCCTCGCTACTCGTGGCTCACAGCGACACATTTGTGTGACTGTCATGGTTCCGAACCAACTCCAACCCCCATGCACACACCTTCCTTCTTCTCAACTCTTCTCAGTTTTGGTTTCTGGCCCCCTACCCTTTCCCACCTTCCAGCGACTATCAATCACAAACGCACACCCCAGCTACCACACGCGCTTGCTCACTCGCACCTAGTCCAACGAGAAGCAACACCACCAATACCATATTAAACCTCACCTCATCAAGATAAGCAGCGACAATACGCACTGATCTTTGGAGGCGATAGCCCCTTGACACAACTTGAACGGCTTGGCCAAGAAAGGAAGGAGGCGGTATGGGCATGCTGCTGAGTGCATTGAACGAACAGCCCGTGTGCTTTGATTCACCATCGCATTACGACGCCCGAGGTGTGCGTGTGCGTGTTGCTGTTGTCGATGGGCTGGGCTTGTGTGCCTGCCATATGTCATGATTCCTTGTGCACACGCATGTTCTGATGGCAAGCGAGGAAGCTCATACGGACTTGCGACGTGTTGCTTCAGGACGGCCAATTCCATGGCGAACGCCGATTCACACCGTCGCGTCCCCATACTATGACGTGCAGAAGAAGCACTGGCAAGAGCTGCGAGAAGCACGAACCAAGAGCATCGTTGCACGAAAGAAGCTCTCTGGTGTGTTTGCGTGTTGGTGGGCGGCTTGTTTGTTTGTTTGTTTGTTTGTTTGTTTGTGTGTTTGTGTGTTTGCGTGTTGGTGGGCGGCTTGTTTGTTTGTTTGTTTGTTTGTGTGTGTGTGTGTGTGTGTGTGTGTGTGTGTGTGTGTGTGTGTGTGTGTGTGTGTGTGTGTGTGTGTGTGTGTGTGTGTGTGTTGTACTGAATCGGCAAGCAAGCAAGCTGAGATGTTCGGGTGAAAAAGATAGCAGCTCACCACGTTCCGTTGCCTTACTGTCCGGTTTCCTGTCTCGTACAATTGTCACGACGACGACAGATGAGAATACTGCGCGCCTGCTGAGCATGTACCCACAATGGACTGACTCTGACATTGCTGATCTCAAGGACCAATTCCACAGCTTTGACGTCAACCAGGATGGCATGATCGACTTTGAGGAGATGTATGTGCCTCTGTGTGCATGTGAAGGTGTCTGAACGGCGGTAGGGCACGAGCACACACACACACACACACACACACACACACACACACACACACACACACCAACACACACAGAGCCACAGCGTGTGCTGTCCTTCTCCTGATCAGGCTTTGTGCAAAATGTCATGTGCCACAGGGTGATAGTGCTAGACTCCCTTGGTGACGAAACATCACGCGAACAGCGCAAGCAGTGCTTCGCTGCCGTCGACACGGATCACTCTGGCTTCATCGACTTTGAGGAGTTCTTGGAGGTGCGGGAACTACCATGTTGCTACGGATGTGCATGACCGTGTTGGTGTGTGCATGTGCGTGCATGTGCTGTGCGTGTCGATGTGTGGGTGCTTGTGTCGCGATGAACTGTTTGCGAGATTCATGTTCCATGTTGCGGTGCGTCGCAGCTCGTCAACAATGTGACGCTTGGCCGTGTTGATGACTCCACTGGACTCGGCAAAGGTTGTCACCTCCGTGCTGCCATTTGCTCCTCACCACCCGCACCAATCACACACACACACACACACACGCTGCTTCCTTACACGCTAACATGCACTCACGCTGCCTGCCACCTCTTGACATGCACACACACACACACACACACACACACACATGCAGCGTACAAGAGCACGGCCCGCAGCACGAAAGCATGCTACTGCCTTGACATCGACCTCCAACTCAAGTACCACCTCATCTGAGAGAAATGGAACAGACCAAATGACCGTGTATTGCAAATCACACGTGCACGTCGGCAGCGAACCAAAGCAAAGCGCTGTCCTCACACACACACACACACACACACACACACACACACACACACACACACACACACACACACACACACACACACACACACACACACACACACACACACACACACATCCATTCGAGTCGAATGCAACAGAAGATCACAAGAGAAGTATGACCACTATTGAAGCAAGTATGTACAAACACAATAAACGATGCAACAGCATAATCACAGCACGCGTTGGAACTTTGACCGCCACTGGTCGCCACCAGACAGCTGCGCGCCGAGCGCAGACACTGCAAGGAGGAAGAGATACGTGCGTGCGTGTGCGTGTGTTAAGGGCGTGGGTACAAGTTGTGTGAGGTTTCATGTGGTAACTGAGAGGGGTAAGGCGGAGGCACAACGTTGAATGCACGCACGAGACAGCACGCCCAAAATGTACACACACACACACACACACCACGCATGCAGCCACCAATCAAGCATCAATCAAGCGTAGAGTTCATGAACACCATCACGACAACACCACGAACCGTGCGGGAAGCGGCGGGCGTCGGCAGACTCGAGGACTTTGACGAGCGCTTTGACGGCGCGATAGCTGTCCATCTCAGCGCGCTGCAGCTCAGATAACCTGAACCAGGAATCAGAGCGCTGGTGATAAGCGCATGCAGACCCCACTCACAAGCGCACCCGGGCGAACAAACAAAGTGACACACATGCACTTGTACACCCACAGTGTTACACACAAGGACACACACACACACATATGATGGCTACCTGTCGATCTTGGCGCGGCAAATGAGACCAAACTTGAGGGCAGCGTTGAGGAGGTTCAACACATACAATTGCAGCGTCTGTCAACATGTGTGCGTGTGCGCGCGGATGAGTTTCAATGTTGGTAACACCCATACCAGCGAATGACACGCGCATGCACACACACACGCACACACGCACACACGCACACACGCACGCACACACACACACACACACACACACACACACACACACACACACACACACACACACACACAAGAGTCACATTCGTTGGCGCAGGCGACACCCGTCTCACCCCTGGCAGCAGGACGCGCCGCTTGACGGTGGCGACGAAGGTGGAGTGGATGCGATGGATGTCTTCGATGGTGTTTGCGCGCATGAGCTGCTGATCGGCGGTCTTGCTCGGCTCAGCGAGGGCTCGATGCATGGTGTACTCGTCAAGAACGCGCACGAAATACAGCAGCCGCGCCCGCACAATCATGCACCCGTGCGACACCGCGCCCATCTCAAAGTCTGGCCGCAGTCAGTCCACCGTGGTGGTGGTGGCATGAGGAAGATGACAAATAGGATTCGAGCAAACAGACATGTACATGAAGCAACCAGACATCGAGAACACACGCACACACACACATACCTCGTCGGAAGGAGAGGTTCTCCAAGGTCCACCTGGCCTGCTTGAGCAGCAGCAGCGTCTGGTGAATGGCGTTGTATTCCTTCATGTGCGCCGGCGTGATCAGCATCGTCAGCACGGGGTCGACCTACCATGGGACACGTGCACGTACGAGAGGGATGTGTATGTGTGTATGTGTGTGTGTGAGCATGCGTGGGCGTGCGTCATGTGAATGGACATTGCTGACGTGCGCACCGCGCACATGTGCAAGGCAAGGCAAAGGGGGGGGGGAGGGGTTTGGTTGTTGGTCAAACGTGTACAGGCGAGCACACCCACACACCAGGTGACTGACTGACCTTGTACTCGATGTGGACACCACTTAATGCGTTCTCATTCGTCGGCTCGAGAAAAGACACATTCAGTCTGCAATGGCGTGGAGCAAGCGAGGCGTTGGTATGTGAGAACAGCCCCGCAAAATGGTCGCGCCACATACACAGACACACACACAGACACAGAGACACAGAGACACACACGCGCGCGCGCAGAGCGAAAACGGGCAAAATGTGCACGATAACACCATGAGGCGCGCACACACACACACACAGAGAGAGAGAGAGAGAGAGAGAGAGAGAGAGAGAGAGAGAGAGAGAGAGAGAGAGAGAGAGAGAGAGAGAGAGAGAGAGAGAGAGAGAGAGAGAGAGAGAGAGAGAGAGAGAGAGAGAGAGAGCACCGTGCAGCACCTAGCGTTGAGGAACGGCGCGTGGACGGCACACGCGTCTTCCAAGTCCAGCGTGCACAGATTCGCATTTCCACCACGCGAGAGCTGTGAAGCAGTGACGCGCGGTTTTGGTTGTGGTTGGTGTTGTGAGGTGTAAGCGACTCGCAAGCACTACTGACACGTACACACACACACACGCACACACACACACGAACGTACGCACGCACACATGCACCAAACACTCACGCACAGGGTGATATTGCTTGTACATGACCGATGTGATGACTCACGTGTTGTGTGACAATGTCAACCCACTGCAGCGCAAGGTCGCCCTTGTACATGAGGAAGAAGTCCTGTGAACGACAGCATGCGCGTGGTGTCAGGTGAAAGTTGAACAAGCACAAGCAAGCAATCAAGCACAGACACAAACTGACACGAAGGGGCGCATAAGCCTGCACACACACATGCACACAAGCGAACACACGGAGACACGGAGACACAAAGACACACATTCAGGCACAACTGCGACAACTTACGCGCAACGCATGCAAATGTTTGTTGAGATGAAGTCGTTCGCGGAAACACGCGAGCAGGGCCGTGTTGGTCATCTGAAAGACATGCGGTGCATTGAATGCATGTGCATATGTGCGTGCACGCGCATGAGTTTGAAGTATGGGCGATGCATGTCACACGTGCCAAGGGTGAAAGCATAATCAGCACATTCAAAAGCAGCAGGCAAAAGCAAGCAAGCAAACAAACAAACACAAACACACACACACACACACACACACACACACACACACAAACAAACACACACAATCAAACAAACAAGCAAACAAACAAAATTGTGGTTTGAGTGTGGCCCACCCTGTGCGCATAGAGGACGCAGCGGTGGAGCAGCTGTTGGAAGAAGAACACGCTCTGCACATGTGTTGGGGACGACCGGTGAAGACCTGCCAGCGTTGATGATGATCGATGTGTGAGCATGTGCGAGGATGAGGTATTGAAAAAACAAGTTAGCGTGCATAGTGTGCGCCTGTGTGAACGTGCGCATGCAAGGCGGGGTGCGAGTGCATACAAGCACATAACCAACCTTCGTGCGCGGTTTTGCGCCCCACAGCGCCAGACGCCATCGCAACAGCCCGCTGTGCACATACACATGATGGAGTAATGGACGTGTGTGAGAAGTCTTGCTTGCAGGCAGCAAGTCGTGATGAGTGAACACACGGGTCGACAAAGAAGCCGCGATGACCAGAGACAAACGTACAAGCATAGAGATCCACACAGAATCATACAGGCACGGACACAGGCACACACATTTACAGACACACACACACACACACCACACACCACACACATTGACAGACACACACGCGCACACACACACACACACACACACACACACACACACACACACACACACACACACACACACCACTGCTCACCCAGACGAGGTCGTGGCGTTCATCATCATCCTCGTCATCAGGACCACCGCCACCATCTCCGCCATCTCGCGATGATGACGACGGTGGTGGTGCGGACGATTGGTGATCAACAGGCAGCGCTTCGCCAAGAGATCGAAGCAGCTGTTTAGTTAAAGGGAAACGTGTGGCGACAAGCGTGGGTGAGCGGTCGTTTCAAGATCGCCACACACACACACACACACGCGCGCGCGCGCGCACACGCGCACACACGGCTCACCTGCAGGTCTGGGTGTCTACTGAGTTGCGTCAGTGCGCGCCATTCGTGGAGTTTCATCAGCAGCAGCGTCGCTTTCCCAGCCTCAACCAACATCGCCGCACAGTCGGCAAGCAGCGCTGGGCCCACAGTCGTTGTGTGTGTGTGTGTATGTGTGAGCGCAGGCGGAGGAATAATTCGTTGAGTTCCACGGCCTCGCACACACACACACACACACAGACACACACACAGACACACATGCGCACAAGCGGCTTCACAGCTGTCATGTCCACCACACCTGGCACGTTGTCAGCCAGCTGCACGTCCTGCCGCCAAAACGTTTCACCGTCCAGCTCGAACGCAATTCGCGACGAAGAAACATGGGAGGACTCGGTTGGGGTGAATGGTGACGACGATGATGACAATGCTGGTGATGATGAAGAAGACGAAGTCAATGTGCCGGTACCGTCGCAGTGGTGGCGCTGATTCTGCTCAGCCGCCAACTGCGCAAGTGTAACGCGACGGCCGGACCTGAGCTTTGACGACGACGATGATGATGATGTGTTGGTGTCGGTTGCGATGCGGATAGGAAGGCACGACAGCGCCTGGCCGCGCAGCAGCCACAGATACGCACTCGCAAGCACCGGCCGACACGCCTGCGTGGTGTGGTGTGGCGTGTTGGATGGTGTGTTGTGCGTCTTAGATGTGCGGCTGGGCACGCGGAGAAGAAACCAGAGGACACAGGGCGCCAGCGGATTCTGCAGCCGATCGCACGCACAGAGAGAGAGAGAGAGAGAGAGAGAGAGAGAGAGAGAGAGAGAGAGAGAGAGAGAGAGAGAGAGAGAGAGAGAGAGAGATAGAGAGATAGAGAGAGACAGACAGAGAGAGAGAAAGAGAGAGATAGAGAGAGAGATAGAGAC